TACTTTCCCACCAACTTATGCATCAATTTGCATGTCAGCTAAAGAAGTAAAAGGCTTGTTTTTCCCCCCTTAATAGCTGAAAATTTTTGTTCAACCAAGAATTAAGCAGGAAGGTGTTGCTACCACATGTAAATTAAAACAAATTTTATTTCCAACATGGAAAATCACTTGTCGACAACAAATTACCAACAAGCAGTACAACTGCATTGGGGCTATATAGGCTGCCATAAAGATATAATTGGTTGCGTTAGAGAACAGATAGCACAAGCAATGCAAAATCTTCACTTGCATTATTTCCTTCATCTCTGCAACAACTAATCAGCCAATATGTCAGTTACTCATCAACTATAACTAGTAGGTGTAGTTTCATGTACATCAGGGTTGAAAAAATTAAAAAATTGGATGAACAATACAGTCAAGGTTCCCTAGCAAATTTAAGTGATTTTGTAAGCAAACAGAAGGAAAATCTTTAATGGCATTATTATCATCAATCTGCAATCCCTCAAATCTATGCTGGCCAACTATTCTGTGTAGACCTGCTGCTAGCAGAACCAGCTCTTGTCCTTGTTTTTGGAATGAGTATAGGTCTACAACAAACTAAAGTAAACAGTAACTCCATCATAAATGATGTCATACTGACCCATATAAATATAGTTCTTTTCCAATACCATATAATTCTTTTGATAAAAGGAAGTTCTGATTCAAGGATGAGGGATGCGTCATATAGTTCAGGAATACCAGCACCCGGCCTGTACTCTGCTCGTTGTTCAAGTACAACTCTTAAGCAAGCAGTAGGCACAATACCTTCATTCAAACCTCTGATCTTCAGATTTAGAGTCTGTGCTTCTGAAACATAGCCAGTGACTAGAGGAGCAACCTTGAAGAATGTCAGCAGAAGGCGGATAGGCTCACTTTTGAATTTCAACATGCATGGATGGCTTGAACTAGCAAGAGTTTCACCATTGATGGACAGGAAATCTACCCTGACCTTCATAAAAAAAAGAAAGTTGCACTAGCATTCATCAAATACAGGTTTGGCTATTAATAGTTAAGAGTCGAATTACAGATAAAGAAAAATGACAATCACTACAGTTACTCAGGGAGAAACACACTATAAATATGGCCATCTTTCCTTGTTACCAAGCTGTCAAGCCCTGTTTCTAGACCATGCTTTAACCAACAAATCATCAGCCTGAATCACTCTATGATGTTATTTAGTGCATATGCGATAGACACGTTCAAGGTAACAGAAACATCAAAATTTAGCTGAGCTTTACCTCAAAAATTTTAGTGTTTGAGAGAAGAAGCAAGTGGTCTAAGTTCACACTTCCTATAGTAAAATGATTAATTCACCAGAACATCATTCAACTTATTTTCGGAACTCTCTCATGGTAATAGGCTGCTATTAACCTATGGGACATGATGGTATTCTCTCATGGTAACTAGCTACTACTAACCTATGGGCATGCTAATATAAGAAATATCGTCTGCACAAAGCAATTTCCCCTGAATCAAGAGGTTAGCAATGCTAATGTCTCATACTCTAATGTAACTGCACTGGCAATAAATTTTACCTGGCTCAAGAGGCTAGTAACCTATGGGAATAAGAATCATTTCCTTGAGAGTTAAGCTTGACGGACACTTCAAACCCAACAACAAGATAATTACCAACTTCTTACGTCAAATTAGTTTATCTAATAAGTTATACTAGGAGTATAATAAAATGTAAAGAATGTTAGCATAAAACTTAACCAACCTAAAACTACAAACACAACCATAAACCCCAAATTGACTTCTAGATAAGAAACAAAACACACATGAAACTAAGTACGATAACTTGAAAATAATGGCAATTTCTGCATTCCATAAATCAAACAAATACCTGGAACATCCCGAGATTTCTGTTGTACTCTGACTCTGGCAATGTCAAACAAACAGTAACCTGCAGTTTGTGATCAGGCGGTATGACTCGGGATCCCACATTCTTCCCAAAATCTATCTTCTCCATACATTTCACACCACAACCAGCACTAGCGCAGGATACAATCGGAACAAATGCAACTGGACTACTCTTAGTATAATCAAAGTTCAACATTTCCTTTATCTCCATTGGTTCCTCTACCAAATACCTCATGAAAAAGCCACTAATCACAAGTGAAGTAAACAATAACCCACATAAAACACAGCCTACATATGTAGCCCACAGCATTCCCCACCCGAATCGAAGCAAGAGGTTCCATATAGATTTATGATCCTTTAACCACTCATACATCAAAGGACTAAAATAGCCACAAGTTGAATTCCATAAATTTAACAACTTTGTGATTATATGAGCTCTACCATGCCTCAAAGCTTGAAAGGGATCGATAATAAACATGTAGCAGCAACTTAACAGCGATAGAGGTAATGTAATGAAGCTAATTAGCAAATTTAACTGAAACCCGATTGCCTTTATCACTAAACCAGCTATCAACACTAGCAAACCCGAGGAAGGAGATAGCGACTCACTGAGTTCGGTGCCAGACTCGGCCGAGTAACGGACTTGGTCAACCAACTCATCATTTTTCGCGGTGGTAACCGTGGATTCGACGTCACTTTTCTCTTCTATGACGAGGGCCGAGATGAGTCCATCCCGAGCTGATTCAGTGATCTCGAAATTGTTGTCATTTGCCTTCAAATCGCGGTAAAGTTTGTACCTTGGCTCTCTAGAACTGGTTTTCAAGCGGCCTCCGACGGTGGAGGCTTCTAGAAGGGAATCTCCAGGTTCCTCGGAGGAGATTCCTCTGCGAGAGAAGGTTCGGCGACGGAGGGTAGAGGATAAGTCTGACGTGGAAGGATCTGATTGGTCGAAGGTAAGGCAATCGTAAAACGGGAAGTCGTCGAGTGCATCAAAGAACTGGTCCTCTTCGTCGGCGTTTTGGGATTCCATTGGAAAATTGGCGACGATTGGCAGCTTGTTTTCCTTTTTCACATTTTTTCTTTTTCCATTCGTTTTTCTCAAATTATTAAAAATTAAGTGGTAATTGTTTTTTTTTAATTAATCTAAAAGTTAATTTCGTATTACATGAATGGAATATTTTAATTACAGAAAAAAGTTTTTTTCGATAACACCATATCTGTTGTGCCACGTAGGTAACGTGGGTTCATGAACAAGATGAAGAAGGGGCTGGAATACGTGTACCATAGGTTTAGTAGCCTTTTCTTGCGAGAATGTCAATTGAAATATGAACTTTTCGGAATTATTTTTATGTAATTTCGTTTTAATCCTAAACTTTACGGAAGGTTTATTTTCATTTTAATTATAAAATAAAACTAATTGTTTAATCTAAATATATATAAGAATAATTAATGATAAAATGTTTATAATATGATTTGATTAGAAAAGTTAATAATTTTTACTCTTCAGATTTGAACTTGAAAATAATATAAATTTAAACTGATTTTAATAAAAATAATCTGAATGTCAAATGTAAATGATCTCGAATTTGAGACAGATTACTTTTCTTTTTTGAAAAGTATAGTGCTTTCATTATTCAAATAAAAGCTATTGTCCTATCTTATTAGCTTATTAAAGTACAATTAGAAAGAAAAGATAATAACGCATTAACTTGATATTTATAAAAGATATGTTGAGTGCAAATAATAATTTTTGAACAAAATATGAACCCAAAACTAAAATAATTCAAGTCCTTATTAGAATTATTAAGTACTAATACTTTGTTTGTGATTTATTTTAAAATTTTATATTTTTTATAATAAATAATAAAAGTTGAAATATTTGATAATTTTTAATTATGTTGAAAAATTTCATATTAACATCTGGTAAAAACATTAAAAATATAATAAAAAATGAAAAATTCATTTATTTTGTTGCTTGCTTGCTAAACATACATATTATTACATTCCCAATTTTTATAATTATATCAAAAACAATCATATAAGTAATATAGCAAAAGAGTTGCAAGGAAGATGGGATTTTTATATATATATTTTTTGCTTTTTGATTCTTTGTGTTTTCTGATTTTTGTAATTTTATAATTTTTTTTGTATTTTTCTTTATTTTCTGTACGCGTTAAATTGGACCATATGGCTTCCATTTATGCCAGCTTCTAAGCTGAAGAAACAAAGAAACAAAGCTGGATACCTGGGCTTGCAAGATATATATATAAACAAAGTTGGGTAGCTGGGCTTGCAAGTGGAGCAGGAGAAAGCATTTGATAGGGGAACAAGTGAAATTAGGCAATTCAGTTCTCTTTTTCCGCCAGGATCCTGTGACTGAATGAAGCCCAAGTTGATGGAGTTCATGTGAAACTTCATCTTTGCTGATACTGAAAGGGCATATAAGAAAGCGATTAGCTCTTATATAGATCTACTTGCTGCTGAGAAAATCATGGCCTCAATTATTTTTTTTCTTTATGCAAACCACCCTGGCTACTATACATTTTAACTTTTTATAAATATGATGCATGGAATGAAACTTCTTTTGTCTCTTCAATGGTCCAAAGCCAGTGAATGCAACTTCATATGCATGCATGGTACGATGAAACTATACAAACCACAAGAACTTTGATAATGATGTTTAACAGAGGTTATGTACGAATGCCACGAATCATGAAATCGCCATAAGCGACTACATGCATACATTTGATACGTAAGTATATTTCTATTTCACGATGATCTAAGCAAACGAGCGTCAGCTTTCGGAAACATCCATCTCATTTTCAGAAAATAATGTTTCAAATGTTTCTTTTATATATATATATATATATATATATATATATTGTTTGCAGTACTTAAAGCCGTTTAGTAACAATCTGCAGTTTGTTATATACTTTTCTTGTTTGACTCAAATGCATAAATAATTGAAAGACACGACGACAATGAAACGAAGAACTTTTAATTAATGTTTGCAAAACATTATATCAAGCTAGAAGGTAAGACTGGTCAAGAGAGCTTAGTTATTGAAGCTTGAAGTGAGACCTGCTGGGCTGCAAGCAAACATGTTTGACAAACAGTTGTTCCTTATATTTGTCCTGGCGCTGAGTTGCTTAGCAAACCAACGTTTTGTTGCAGCTAGGCTGGTTCAAGATGAAGGTAAGATTTATGCTTCGAATTTTGTTCATTTTCCCCTTCTGAAGTTGTAACGCTTCGGGGGTTTATGAAGTGGTATAAGATGAACTTCAAATGCACAAAATCTTAGTTTTCGGCTTCTTAGTTTCCATTAAAACCAGGTTCAATTTCCTGTATTGCCAACTTTATGTTAAATACAACCAAGGACACACTTCACCCTTTCTGTCGGGCAACTTTAGCTCTTGAATTCTATTATCTGATTGCTGTTTCTGTAATGGAATGTGATTTTAGTTAATGCTCTGGAGAAAAGTATGAAAACAATGGGATCCACATACTGGAAGTTCGATGATGAGAATTGCCTGGTAGAGATGGTAGGCATAACACCAGATCCACCTCAGAATTCTGTGAAGAACATAACTTGCAATTGCCAATTTCAGAACAATACCTGCCATGTTGTCTCCATGTAAGTCTCGTTTGTCCAGGTTTTTCACTCCAGAACTCAAATGCCCGACAAAGTAATTTATGGAGTTGCGTTTGCTTCACTTTCTCCCTTTCTTTTCACCACTACTTTCAGGGAAATCAAGCGCTTGAATCTTCCTGGAGTGCTTCCACCAGAACTAGTCCAGCTTCCTTACCTCGAACGCATGTGAGTTTGAGATCAACCATGTGAGATGCATGCATCTACATATACTAAAAAATTTCCTAGCAGGTCAAATAAAATGATCAAACTATTGAACACCCTCCTCCCTTTTTTTCCAAAACAAAAAGAAGCCCATGATCAATTCATGAAACTTTTTTAGTATATATGAACTATGGGTGAACAGGAAGCCGAACCACTTGAAGTTAAGGCGATCCATTGAGCAATACTTATTAGCAGTTCATTCAAGTGCCTGATTAATTTGTGAACACGTTATGGTTGAGTCTCAAAATCACAAAGCAATCTGGAAAAATACTTGGGATGCCTTGACTTACAAGTTCATCTCTTCTTTTATTATTTCTTTCAGTTTTCATTTTCACCAGAAACTAACAAGAACGACGAGATTCTATTTTCTATATTTTTCCTTTAATTTACTGGCAAGTGAAAGCTGTTTTGCTGGTCCTTGCAGCGACTTTGCCTACAACTATCTGAATGGTTCGATACCAGCTGAATGGGCTTCTTTGAAATTGACATACATGTAAGCCGCCATCTGTTTATTTTTGTTGTTACAACAAAAGACTTGCTTTCACTTTTCGTACCATGAATTCATTTAGCCAAGAAATGGTACTATGCAGCTCTCTTCTTGGGAACCGTTTATCAGGGAACATTCCAAGTCATTTGGCCAGCTTTACCGCTCTCACTTATTTGTAAGTCCTCAACTTGAGAACTTCTGCTTTAGGCCGATGCATACAGATAAAACTCCCATGATTTATATATGACAGAATATGAAAATTTGTCACTTTTGTTTGAAGTGAAAAATGCTAGAGTCTCAATGGAAATTCATTTCCTATGCTTACCAGGGACCTGGAAGTAAACCAGTTTTCTGGAACAATCCCCTCAGATATCGGCAAGTTAGTTAACTTGGAAACCTTGTAAGTTCACGTCCTTCAATGTTTGAGTCTTTGCCTTCTCGAGCGTTCTTCTACAGATGGTGTATTTGGAAGGACTAAAAATTCCTTTTTCATTGCAGGATTCTGTCTTCGAATCAGTTTAGTGGAAATTTGCCATTGGAATTCGCTGAGCTCAGAAACCTTACTGACTTGTAAAATTTTCATGCCCTTATGAGTATACCATGCACAATTTCCAAGAAAACCGAGAACTGAATGCCTGCCTTTTGCACAATGCAGTAGGATAAATGACAATAATTTCAATGGAACTATACCAGATTATATACAGAACTGGAAACAACTTGAAAGATTGTAAGTATCTCTTCTTTTCAACATTCAAGTGTTTCAAGTTTTCAACCCCATATGACACTTGTTCTGTCTCTTGTAACTCTCTCACCGTTTCTATTTGACTGAATCTATGCAGGGAAATGTATGCTAGTGGACTCCAAGGACCAATTCCAACATCCATCTCAGTTTTGGTATCATCAAAACTGTTGTGAGTGAACATTTCCTGAGTTCATTTGCTATTTTCTTCTTTTTTATTGTATCATAGTAGGTATGTGGACTCTTTTACGATATGTGCATGTCTGTGACTGTTTTTGATCTGTACTGGTCAAGGATGCTGTTAACATTTATGCTCTTACATATAGGAAGATTAGTGACATAAATGGAACTAGTCAGGTTTTTCCCGAGCTAGGAAACATGACAGGCCTTACGCACTTGTAAGTTCACTGCTAATCTTTTTTTTTTCATTTTTCAGGTATAGGTTAGGAATGATGATAACCTTTCATGGGACTTTTACATATTGCATAGCTATAATTGATTTTTCAGGGTTTTGAGGAATTGTAATCTATTTGGAAAGATCCCTTCATACATATGGAGAATGAGCAGGCTTCTCATGCTGTAAGAGTCTTAACAGAAATTTTTTGATGATTAGCCATGTATGCATGAAGGTTGTTGTAATGAATATCTACAAACATGATAGCAGCAGTCTCTACATTAAACAGTGGTTTGATATTCTGTATACAGGGTCAAGGAAATAGATGTGTTGTGTTTTTATGAGTGAAACCTATTAAGAACTAGTTTTCTAAGATTTACAATGCATCAATCCCGGAGAGCACATATGAGATATAATCTAAGTTATATTTCTTCCTATATATGGTGCTGCTAGCTCTCAGCCTATATTACTTCCTATGTATTGTTTGGCATTTCATTGCCAAGTTAAAATTCATCTGGTATTTTATTTAGCACCTTATGGGCATAAGTAAACTTCTTTGAATGATCAGTTGCTCACTCTATAATTTTTCTCAGCCTTCAAACATGATTCTAACAGAAATATGTAGTTATTTCATGTTTGATCTGTGGGTTCTCCAAAATCACCTCTGCATGTAATGCTGATATATGAAAAGAAAAATTTTAGGATGCCGATAAGCAGGGGAAAAAAAAAAGAAGAATAGATAAAAAAAAATTGCACGGAAATTCCGGTGTTCTTAGTATTCTAAAAAGTTGATCTGCTGTATACATTACATTGGTACTGGTGCTTACGGTCTGAAATAAGATCATGTTCTTCAATCTTGTAATTTTGGACAGGGATCTTAGCTTTAACATGTTATCAGGAGAACTTCCAGGCATCATAACCATACAGAATCTGAAATTTGTGTAAGTTAAAATCCTTTTCTTGACAGTAAGCTCATATAATTTAGAATCCCAAAATCTACATTTATATGTCAAGCTAAGCTTTTCATGCTGCCTCGATCAGATTTCTAACAGGTAACTTGCTTAGTGGAGACATCCCGCAGTCAATCTTAATGCAAGGAAGCAATATGTATGCGCAATATCTTGGATTGCTTGACTACTTTAAATACGTACTCATCGATTTGTGTGCTATGAGTCATTCATTGTGGCTGACACTGCTTTGTACAAGTAATTTTGGTAGACGCAGATACTCTGCTACAACCGGTTTTAACACATTGCACTAGCTGTTATTGAATTGCATTTGTTGCCTTTGTTCATTGATGTGCATGTATGAACTCAAATGAATATTCCAGAGTAATAATTCAGCTAATTTAAAAAAGGGAACAGGCATTGTTATTTCAAGAAATTCTGAAAACTCAAAAACTTTGCTTGTTTTGTTTTTCGGCATGTCCAAGTACACGTGATTCACCTTTACACATTCAATAACCAGCATCATTGAGCATATGATTAATTTACATTTTGTATGCAGTGATCTCTCCTATAATAACTTCACATGGCAAAGCCCTGGCCATCCTGCTTGTCAATGGGACATATACACGTAATTATACTTATTCATGGACGACATCTTCTTTCTTATATTTCCTCTTTTGATGTTTGTTCAAAGGCTAATCCAAACACTTATATAGATTTTGCATTTTGTTATTTCACTAGGGATCTAAATCTCAACTTGTTCAGAAGTTCCTTGACAGAAAACAACTTGTAAGTTGCTTTTCTTGCTTTCTTATAGTTCCAACTTGAGCTACTGAGCTAATGACCATGACATGTAAAAGTTTTATTGATCATTTCATGGTCATAAAAAACCCTTTTCTAACTTCTTTATGTAGATATTTTTGTAACAATTTTTTGGGTTGTGGAGGTATTCTGTGTGTAAGCTTTGTGAATTTTATTTACAATTCCCACATGGGACTAAGTACTTTTTCTTTTTCCAACTAGAGGTCGGTTACTTCAATGCAGGAATGATTTCAAATGTTCTCGATGTAAGTATGTCTCTTGGCAACTTGTTCTGAACAATCTCTGCGTTTAGCACACTGTATATGAACTATTGATTTCTACAATAGTACCATTTCATTGTTTTCATATATGTGTCTGTCCCTTGGCAGACTGGCATTCTTTGTATGTTAATTGTGGTGGAGATGATGTGGAAATAAGTGGCAACATATATGAAGGAGATGCAGGAGGTGATGGTGGAGCTGCGGAAGACTATTTTACTGGCAACCATCAATGGGGCTTTAGTAGCACTGGAGATTTCATGGATGACAATGACATCCAGAACACACGTCACACTGAAAACTTGCAATCACAAAATATCCCTGAACTATACAGAACAGCCCGCATTTCTCCTCTTTCCCTCACTTATTATAGATATTGTATGGCGAATGGGAGTTATACAGTGAGTTTACACTTTGCAGAGATTCAGTACACAAATGACAGTACATATAGCAGCCTTGGGAAGCGCATTTTTGATATCTATATGCAGGTATTGATTGCACTGAAGAATATTGGTGTAGCAATTTATAAACATTAACTAGTGCTAATTTATTTACCTGGTTTCACCTCTGAAAGTTATTAATCTTCAAATAATGCTATTTGAAAAATGGAATTGCCTATCTTTTCTGAAAAATTGCCTTTAAACAGATACTGCGTGCATGCCAAATTGGTAGTTCTTTGGTTTTTATTTAATTAACCAGGAAGGTGCTTATTCTATGTTGTAGAATGAATTAGTGGAGAAGGATTTCAATGTAGAGGCAGAAGCTCTTGGAGTTCTTACACCTTTCATCAAACTATTTAACATCAGTATTAAAAATAATATGTTGGAGATTCGTTTATATTGGGCGGGTAAAGGGACTACACGAATTCCCACGCGAGGAATCTATGGTCCCATAATATCAGCTATATCTGTAGATTCAAGTAAGTTCTTCTTCCTTCTGTTGACATTGCTAGCACAGAAATAAGACCCTCAGCCATTGATGTTATCATTCTCATTGTTTTCCTCATGGATGAAATGAAAGAGCTTAATACGTTGGCTAGCAAATGTTAATAACTGTAGGGAGTAGGGAGTGATGAACATATGGTATATGTCCGCTGAAGCTTCTCAGGCAGGTTCACCATTTCATTAGGCCATGCTGGTAGCTTAAAGGTTGACTGAAATTTGGCACCAGAACTGCACCTTTATTCATATCATGAAATACATACTCTAAACTGAAAACGTAATTGCATGCTTTCTTTTTCTTTTTTAATTATTATTATCTCTGTGGATTGGGATCTGGTTTTCATGCTCATTAAATAGGGAATAGATTATCAATACAGGCATGCCTTCCTTAAAGTGGAAACTTCATTTATAGCTAAAATTACTTAAATTGCTGTAAACTCTTGGCCTCAATTTGCAACAGCTTAACATGTGTTCTACGTATGATGTAAATTGTGTTCAGAGGAAAATTCTTTTCTGTTAACATAGTTCAGAAGATTTGTTGATCAGTTAAGCAAAGACCATTTTGCTTATTATGAAGGATTAGAGTTTTCTTATTTTTACCCTTGCAAAAGTTCCTGTTAGCATTTGGTTTTTTGTGTGACAGACTTCAATCATCGCTCAATAGGAGGAAGTACCAGAATTGCACCTATTGTTGTTGGGGCTGTGGGAGCATATATCATCCTATTGACATTGACTACCATCGGCTGCTATTGCAGAGGAAAGATATGGAAACAAACAGGTTTGGGCTATTTCGCTACATAGATAACAGTTTCAGATAAAACGATGACCTAATTATTACGATATCTTTAATGTCAATTCGCAAGTGTATTTTTCAAAATAAATTTCATGTTTTAGCATGCTCAATGTAACACTATTATACTTGATAGCTTGTTCGCAGTCAATTCAAGTCTGTTTGAGTGTTGTAGGTGGACATAGCAACATTGGGACTCACCAAAATATTAAAGAATGGCGGGCGTGGTCACTGCATGTATTAGGGTCTAGACTCTGATATCTTGGTGTTGTAAAGCTGCTTAGTATAGTTATGTACCAACATCCTAGTACTGTCTTCGTTTTGACAGATTTGAAAGGACTAGATCTCCAGACAGGTTTTTTTACACTGAAGCAAATTGTAGCTGCCACTAACAACTTTGATTCAGTAAACAAGATTGGAGAAGGTGGATTTGGACCTGTCTACAGGGTATCCTGACTAACCTTTGGTCTTCATTATTCTTCCCATCTAATGAACAGGCTTGAAAGATAATATTTTTCATGACCTGAATGCAGGGTCTCTTATCAGATGGAACTGTAATTGCTGTGAAGCAGCTCTCATCAAAATCGAGTCAAGGAAATCGTGAATTTCTTAATGAGATAGGTGTGATTTCATGTTTGCATCATCCAAATCTTGTGAAACTTTATGGATGCTGTGTGGAAGGGAATCAACTCCTGCTAGTGTACGAATACATGGAAAATAACTGCCTTTCTCGTGCCTTATTTGGTGAGTTGATTAGTCTATTATATGAACTGAAACCTTTCGATTACATCAAGTTCACCAATGCATTTTTCCCCTTGGAAATACATCCTTGACTAATTACGCAGGCCAAGAAAACTGCCAGATAAAATTGGATTGGTCAACAAGGCACAGGATCTGCATTGGGATTGCTAGAGGTTTAGCTTTTCTCCATGAAGAATCAAGACTGAAAATTGTTCATAGAGATATAAAAGGTACCAATATTCTGCTTGACAAAGATCTCAATCCTAAAATTTCTGACTTTGGATTGGCTAAGCTTGATGAAAAGGAAAAAAGCCACATCAGCACTCGAATTGCCGGAACAATGTAATCTGCTCTTTCTAGTATATCTGGCTTTTGCTTCATATTCTAATGCTTTGTCAGTTAAATTGATTATTCTGATTTCTACATAATCTACATTAAACACTAACGTGCAGAGGATACATGGCACCAGAATATGCAATGTGGGGTTATTTGACTTACAAGGCAGATGTTTACAGCTTTGGAATTTTAACTTTGGAAATTGTTAGTGGGAAGCAAAATATTAGTTTCGAGACAGAGAATAAGTTTTCTTGTCTTCTGGATTGGGTATGTCACTAGCTTGAACTTCTGCCTATTACTTGCCAACAAAAATTGAAATGGAAATGCCCTTTAGGCCCCTTGAAGATTTGTCATGTTCCAAAAAATAAACTGACATTGATTTGAAAGTTGCTCCCCATTAGATTGTTGAAAGGCAACTAGAACTTTCTTTCGTTGTTTACACTCAGGATATCATGAGTAAACTACCCTAATTTAAGGTTTCACTGTTAATAGTATCATTTTTGATGACATACTAAAATTTTGCAGTAGTTTTATTTTGTGATTTTATCCTTACATGACAGGCTTGCCATTGCCAGCAAAGTGGAAATCTGATAGAGTTAGTGGATGAAAGGCTGGGGTCTGAATTCAATAAAGTAGAAGCAGAGAGGATGATAAAAATAGGTCTCTTGTGCACAAATGTTTCACCTGCATCACGGCCAACCATGTCTGAAGTACTGAGCATGCTAGAAGGATCAGCCGTCATACCAGACCTGAACACTGAAGCAAGTCCCTTTAAAAGAGATTTAAGGTTTAAGATCATAGAGGATCATCACAAACAAATGCATAACCAGAGTTCGAGTGGAAGTCAGGCTATTTGTTCCAGGCCGATCAGGCTGTGGCATGGTCAATCTTCATCTCCCTCCGAAGATGACTCAATGAAATTAACATGGAGTCCTATTTAAGGTCTAAAGCTACAAGTAGCTTCTACAAGCCAGCAGATACCCATAGTTCAGCAGGCCAGACCCAGATTTCTACAACTGTACCCCCGTTACTTGAGCCTCAAATCTTCCAAGCCTTGATTTTTATCATGCCGATCACAATTCCTAATGTTTGAAGTATTAAATAATACAGTGATTAAAATGAACATTCATTTTAATATTGTTATAGTATTTTTTTTCTTTCATTGTTTCTCTGAATAATGATATTTTCAAACTTTGTTGCTTTCAAGAATATTAGAGATCATGCTTGGCTGCGGGTTTGTTTTGTTCTTCATCAAACTCAGGAGTCTTTCCATTCCGAACTTTAAAAATCATAATTAAGATAATCTAATCTTTAGCAAAAATAATATAATCATTTAACTTATATGCGTGAAAGGGTATTTGAGTAGTTGAGTTAACAATTTCATTACATCTACAGCAATGACTAGAAATATAAACATAATCATCTAAACAGATGTTCATCTTGGATGCTTTAGCAATCCAATTTGCAGCCTTCTATATTTGTTTAGACGATTATGTATGTATTTCTAGTCATCGTTATATGATCTGTACTTAAAGTCGCTTTGTGCCAACCCAGGCAAAAAAGAAGGGCGAAATCAAGGATATACACGGCAAGCAATTGGAGCCCACTTGCCAAATATCTTTAATTGGATTCGTTAGGGATAACTTTAATAGTTTGGTATGGATATTCGGAGTTCCCTAGGAAGCCACTTCGCGTCAAAATTTGCAGCCATACAATGACTTTGACGGGTAGATCCGGGGGGTTTACAGAGTCTAAAGTATCACAAAAAAAGTCTATAACCACATTATAGACTGATTTCTATTGATGGCCACGGTTTTTACCGCAACAACCCTAAGTGCCTCGTGATTATATTTTTTAAAACTTTAATAAATAACTAATTTGATGTGACCTCAAAGGGTTCACATTGTTGACGGTAGTTTGGTGTAAAATTGAAGAGTTCTGAGACATGAGAAGGGAAATGGAGAGGGCAACATTGTCCTAAAGACGGCCAGAGCCGATGTGCCAAATGGTGGTTGCCTCTGTTTCTCAAGCAAAGTAAATCCCAGAGAAGAAAAGAAGCAATTCAAAGCTGTTTAAACTTTAAATTAACCAACTAAGTACACAGAAAAAACAATTAACCAACTTGAATAAATAAGATTTTTTATGTCAAAACTGAAACTGACCACGTATGTAGAGGTCCACGTCCATCATCCTAGTCAAACATGTGGTTTGGAAATTCTGAAGAAACCAACCATGAAACAATCCAAGGAGAAAAGCACGTCGAAAACTTGCAATATTCATTCAAAAAATCATACTAGTATTCCAGGATCATGGTTAGTTTACGCTAAAGGGTGGGGCTAGAATGGTGCCTTTGGTTTGAAAGGTTTTAAAGCATTTTAATTTGACTAGTATATCTATTTGCTTTTTTGTCACAAGTTCATACCGTTCTGTTACATAAAGTCAAAGGAAAGGAGTGTTTAAGTATAGAGGAACAGTCCAAATGCTTGCAAAGTGAAACAGGAGAATGATTTCCGAGTTTCTACGGCGCTGCAATTTTGCCAGGATGTTGTTTTCTAAGGCCATGATTCTGCTATCGGCTGTTCTAGCCTTGAGTTGGATCGGAACACATAAACTTGAGGCCGCCATGCTGCCTGAAGATGAGGGTATGATGAATTGATTGAATTATTATTTCTTTATGGTCATGTTCTTGTTTTAGTTTTCTTCTTCTTCGTCTTTTTATGGGTTTTTGGGATTCAACCAAGTAGATATGTGACTTGGGTGTTTGATGGATGTGATATTTATACAGTTAATGTTCTGAATCAAATTGCCAGAACGATGGGAGCTACAAACTGGACTTTTGATGGAAACGGTTGCCAAAAGAATGACACACCCAGGGTAGAAAGAGGATTTGTGCCTGAGAAAAACGTTTCTTGCCACTGCGAGAACGAAACCTGCCACGTAACTCATTTGTAGGTTTCCTTTCTTTTTGTAAAAGTTAACTGTTGCTTTAGTTTCAACCTCTAACAGTTAAGCTTAAAAATTAGAAACACTGATGAACTAGATTATAAGCATTTAGTTTCAAAATGACCGACATGATGATATTACTAATAACATCTTACCTTTGATGATAGTTGATAGACGATATCTACATATATATATATATATATATATATATATATAATAACATCTTCATTTCATTAAATAGAGAAGATGCTGAACATTACTGTGGTAGTTCTCTCATGTATTCTCCTCTATCTCTTTGTAATTTTGTACTCTGTTTTCTACTCTTTACTTTTTCTCAACTCATTTTTTATTTTTATTGTATTGGATATGTTTTTCCTTTTTTGAAGAATGAACTTAACAAATATATTGCAGTTTTTGTCACAAGGTATGCAACTAACTGTTTATAAGCTAATGAAAACCTATGCTTCAATGTTTTTCAAGAAAAAGCTCGAAACAGACTAGGTTTTCTGACATAGTTTATTCATTTTATAGGCTTAGACCAGCTTAAAGCATGCGTGTTCGAACTAAAGCTTAAAACTCAACTAATCCCTCATCTTGTAAACTAAAAAATCATGGAATTCTAGTTGCCCATCAACATAGATATGTAATATATAGTAGTCTTAGGTTCAGGAAAAAAAAACACAAAAACTGACACATACAGATTGATTAAAAGCGACTAAACTTGTTATGGATTTCAGAGCATTTAAGCGTCAGAACCTTCCAGGTGCACTTCCATCTGAACTTGTACACCTTCCTTACCTCAAAGAGATGTAAGTAACACGACTTTCTTTCTCTTTTGATACAACATTGCAGGCACATATATAAATTTAAGTTAATTATCAGAATGATCTTAATGTTGCCTGCAGTGATTTTGCATATAACTACCTGAGTGGTTCAATACCATCTGAATGGGGTTCGATGCAGTTGGAGAAAATGTGAGTTGTTATGCTCCCTGCTTGCATGAATAGTTGAGAGAATTGGTTGTTATTGAGCTAACCGGACAACATTAATGCAGCTCTGTCTTTGGAAACCGATTACTGGGGAGAATTCCAAGCTCTCTGGGGAATATAAGCACCCTTAAGTACTTGTAAGTTTTGAAGTACTCTAATCTGTTGACGATATTTGGAAACTGGAATCATTTTTAGTCGATAAAATTTACTTCATAGCTAAACTTGTTAGTTATATTCTTTGCAATTTTCAGTTAGGACACAATCAGAGGAATGAAGAGTTTTATTCCCTCGGTCCTCATTCTTCCCAAGATAGAGGTGGAGGGTGCATGGTGTGTCCTATTAGTGACCTTAGCTTATCTATCTTGCAGGGACCTCGAAGTAAACAACTTTTCTGGACAAGTCCCCCCAGAGCTCGGGAAGTTGGTCAACTTGGAAACTTTGTAAGACATTTCAAGACTTCTATTAAACTTTTGTCTCCTTGAACGATATATTTTCTTAATACTCATAAAAAAAAAAAGAGCATTACTGTTGTAGTCTTGAAATGTCTCACAGTACTCTTTGAAGGATGTAATATATTTGTCTTGCAGAAGATTGTCCTCCAACAGATTGACTGGAAATTTGCCATCAGAACTTGCTGATCTGAAGAACTTAACAGGCCTGTAAGCTTCTTTAATGGAGTTATACTAGATGCATTAATTCGTGAAAAAAAAAAAAAAGGATGAGGTTTGTTATTAACTAATATTAATATTGCAAGTGCAGCAGAATAAATGACAACAACTTGAATGGCAGTATACCAGATTTCATTCATAACTGGAACAAACTTGATAGACTGTAAGATATCCTCAACTTGAATAGTTTTCAAGTGACTAAATCTCTAAATTTGTATTTATCTCTTGAAATCTTCTTGATTGTTTTTTGTTAATTTATCTGAGACAACCAGGGAAATGCAAGGTAGTGGACTTGAAGGACCTATTCCATCATCCATTTCTGCTTTGGAAAACTTAGAAATTTTGTAAGTGAAAGCTTCTCAATTTTACCATCAGCAAAGATTAGTGACATCAATTTACTAAATGTTTTGTTAACTAAATGATTATTTCCCAATCTTATACTTGCTTACAGGATAATAAGTGACATAGATGGAACAAGTCAGCCTTTTCCTGATCTAAGGAACATGACGCGCATCAAGCGAATGTACATTTACTGCTAATCTTTGACTAATTTACTGAGGCATATAATTAATCATTTCTAGATAATTATATTTGATATGGCTAACATTGGATGCTGTAGAATTTTGAAGAAATGCAACATTTCTGGACAGATCCCTGCATATGTCTGGGACATGAGTGACTTGCGTATTCTGTGAGTATTTTCCATAAGTCTTTAATTATTAAAGTTTTTTTAAATTTTCTTATAGCATAAACGTTTGGGTTTTTGCAAGTATTATGAATTTAGGGGGAATTTTAACTGCATCATGTAATATATTCATGTTTTTCTTGTGATTTTGGACAGGGATCTCAGTTTCAACAGTTTAAATGGAGTACTTGAAGATGTCATACCCCCTGGAAACTTCAAATTCCTGTGAGTTTCTTCCCCTTTGCCTCTTTCCCTTTGATGGAAAGTACTCATCTAAGCCATGAAGCCAAAATTTTTCTAGTTTATGGTTTGTAAAGCAAGTAATACTGACTATATGATTTCACCAAGATCAGCTTTTTAACTGGCAACAATTTGAGCGGAAATATACCACAGTCAATTTTGAGGACAGGAATCACTGTGTATGTATACTCTACTAGGATTATTTGAATATTTGTATGTTCTTCCTCACTTGCAATATCTCTAAGAAGATGGCTCTATTTGATTCTTGGTGGCAGGGATCTTTCCTACAATAGTTTCGCATGGCAAGGTCCTCAGCAGCCTGCTTGTCGGCAACTGTTAGTTTTTATTTTCTTTTCCTTTTAATTGGAGTGAACTGTCTACTTCCTTATGCTTTCCTAATGCAGCATTACTGAATTTTATTGTGTTTTCGTTTTTAAATAGGAGTAATATTAATTTGTTCCGCAGTTCTTCATCGGCAAACCTGTAAGTTGCCATTCTTAGTGCATTATTGTGTATGTTATAAAAATTCCAGCTACAGCCATAGAATCCACTGTCATTGCATTGAGAAGAGTATGGCATAGTGGCTCTTTCTCTTGCTCTCTGTTTTAATCTCTGTCAAAACAAAATCCACCCTTGGTTCTTCCATTATATAGTTCAAAATTTTAGCTAGCTAAGTTTCTCTTAAATAGTTTTCCTTTGGTGCTAATCCATTCCCTTTTCTATCTATCAAAACAGAGGTGAAATTTTTCAATGCAAGAATGATTTCCAATGTGAAGAAAGTAAGTATCCAGAAATGTTGCTTTCAACTATAATTTTTTAGCTTCTTAAACTTCCAAAAGTGTCTTAATAGCATCTCTCCGAAGCTCCTTCTTATGTAGTTTACTGACTTATATGTCTGTGTTTTAGATTCACACTCTTTGTACCTAAACTGTGGCGGTGATGATGTGACAATAGACGGTAAAACTTATATAGGAGATAGAACTTTTGGTTCTGGTGGTGCTGCAACGTTATATCAAAATAATGATAACTGGGGATTTAGTAGCACTGGAGACTTCAGGGACGATGACGATGAACTGAACTTACAGTCACGTTTTATTGCAACTGTCCAGTCACCCAACAATCTCTCGGATTTATACACTACAGCACGCCTTTCTCCTCTTTCGCTTACTTATTATCAATATTGTTTAGAAAATGGGAACTATACTCTGACTCTACACTTTGCGGAGATTCAATTCTCAAATAATGCAACCTATGGAAGCCTTGGAAGGCGAATGTTTGATATTTATATTCAGGTAACTGATCACAATTAAGAGGCATATTTGTGTTAATGGCTTATCACCAAGGAGTTGCTGGATCTTTTATCGTGTGGCAGGATGAGGTAATTGAGCAGGATTTCGATATAGAAGCTGAAGCTAAAGGGGTTCTTACCCCGTACACAAGATCATACAACGTTAGTGTAACAAATGGTAGAATAGAGATCCGCTTCTACTGGGCTGGCAAAGGAACTCAAGCAATTCCTGACAGAGGAACCCATGGTCCACTTATTTCAGCAATCTCCTTGGAGAATCCCAGTATGTGACCTTTTTCTTCCTAGTCGTCCTGATCCTGATCCTGGTCCTACTCTTTCATTACATGTTTAGTTATTGGTATTAGTATTTCAAGTTTAGTTCCAATTACAATATGAATTGACGAGTTCTTTGGGGCAGATTTCAAACATCGTGATGCAGGGAAGAAAAAGAGTGTTGTGCCAATCGTTGTTGGTGTCCTAGGAGCATTTATCATATTCTTGGCATCAGGTATCGTCTGGTGGAGATACTATTTCAAAGCCAAGAGCCGGCGAGAAAAAGGTTTGCATGAAATAACCTTTCAATAAATCTCAATTTCCAGGTTTCTGCTAAAGTTGTTTACTTTCAAGTATAAACTTTCAATTTCCAACACATAGATATAACACCATCCATGCACATGTTGGACTGATTAGATGACCTTCTGGTTTTTCTATTTTTTTTTTCCATTAAGCAAATATATAAACATGTAATGGACAATCATATTTCCTCTGTTTTTTTTCCCAGATCTTGAAGGATTAGATGTTCAAACCGTTTCTTTCACTTTAAAGCAGATTAAGGCTGCCACCAACAATTTTGATTCTGGAAACAAGATTGGAGAAGGTGGATTTGGACCTGTTTACAAGGTATACAAACCAGATTTAAGTCATCATCAACCCTATGGTATAATGGGATTTCTTCTTCAAAGTTTATGCTCAGAATCATTTTCATTGTTGGGTAGCAGGGCCAGCTTGCTGATGGTACAATAATTGCTGTGAAGCAGCTATCTTCAAAATCAAGTCAGGGAAATCGTGAGTTCATGAACGAGATAGGCATGATTTCATGTTTGCAACATCCCAATCTTGTAAAGCTTTACGGATGCTGCATTGAAGGGGATCAATTGTTGCTAGTATACGAGTACCTGGAAAATAATAGCCTTTCTCGAGCCTTGTTTGGTAAGTTCATTGTAGAATCTTTTATCAGATACATTTAATTGAACAAAAAAAAAAAGAAAACAAAAACCTCAAAAAGGAGGACGGTCATTGATTTTGCCCATGAAATATTTCTTGGGATTTTCTTTAGGCTCAGAAAAGAGTCAAATGAACCTGGATTGGCCTACCAGGCACTGGATTTGTACGGGAATAGCAAGAGGTTTAGCATTTCTCCATGAAGAGTCTAGACTCAAAATTGTTCACAGAGACATCAAAGGTACCAATGTTCTGCTTGATAGAGACCTCAATCCTAAAATATCCGACTTTGGATTGGCCAAGCTTCATGAAGAGGAAAAAACCCACATCAGCACACGAGTTGCTGGAACAATGTAAGCCACTTCATCATCTTTCAATCTTGTAGTCTGTTTTGAACTTTCAAGTTTAATTAAATTTGGATGCAGAGGATATATTGCGCCTGAGTATGCACTGTGGGGATACTTGACGTACAAGGCAGATGTTTACAGTTTTGGAATTGTGGCATTGGAAATTGTCAGTGGGAAGCACAACATGACTTATGGACCAGAGAATAAATATACTTGCCTTCTTGATTGGGTAATTACTCTTTATACATTAGTCTTTTAGATTGTTGAAAAACATAGCAATGACCTTAATTGTTCTTATGTACATTTTAGGCCTGTAATTTACAGCAAAATCGAAAGCTCTCGGAGTTGGTGGATGAAAAGCTGGGAACTGAATTTAACAAGGCAGAAGCAGAAGCAATGATTAAAATAGCTCTTTTATGCACAAACGGTTCACCTTCTCTAAGACCGACCATGTCTGAAGTAGTCGGCATGTTAGAAGGAAGAATCATGGTTCCGGAATCCGTCCCTGATCCAGGTAGTTACAGTCAAGATTTGAGGTTTAAAGCCATAAGAGATCATCATAAGTCTATGAATAGTCAGAATTTGGGAGGAAGTCAGACGAATAGTTCAACATCTGCAGGGTCCAGGATTGAAGCTTCTTCTGATTATGCTTACGAACGCAATGAAATCAATGAGTTCAAAGCCATGGAAAGCCAGATATCAACATCAGTCCCATCATGGGCTGGCTCTTCAACAATGTCTGTATCTACCCATGATTTTTACGACCTTCATCCACGTTCGTAGCATACAGAGAAACAGGCTTGCTTAGATTGTCAGGATTGTTCTTACCATTTCATTTGTTCTTCTTGTCTTTGTAGACAACCTTTACTCTTTGTATCATATTTGTATATTAATCAAAGACCTTGACTGTTATGAATCCTGGTCGTATCGAGCAGTGCATGACAAGGGAAGGATGGCAGCAAGCAGAACGGTTATTTTGCATTGTATTTATTTTGGTGTGATTTTCTTTAGAGGGTCGATAAATAAAAGGCTGTAACGAAGCTTAGTAAAACATGAGATGTGAAACTTGATCTTACAGTTCATAACAGGTGCGTGCAACAGCAGACTTCTATTGCCACAAGGAATTATTTGTTTTTTGGAACTGCTGCTAGTCAATGTACAAGTGGCTCATTGTTCTTGCTCCTAAATGACTTATTTCCAATCAACTGCATCACCCTGATATGGATGCATCTAACCCTGGAGTTTTGGACCTTTGCCACAGTTCCAATGGGATTTCTCAGGTGGACCTGCCCGAATTTTCTTCGATCACCCAGCCATTATTTATCTACATATCACAACTCTGGAAAAAGTGTAGGGTCCCAGAAATTTTCAGGAAAAGCTGTGAACAAGTTATGTTTTCAAATGTCAAAAGCAATGTGCCCAAAATGGATGGTCTCTCTGTATCTCACGCAAAGTACTGACACCGAAACAGAAAGGAAGGCACATAGCCGTACAACTCTTTTCCTCTTACTTTTCAATGACACCTTCCTCGTCAGTTTTCCCTTGAAAGCCGACTGTATTCGGGTTTGCTTCCCCATGTATGTTAGTTGTAGAATGAACTCAAGTAGTAGTTTTTAACAATAAAAATGTCCAGTTGTCGCTTTTATGATGTATTTTTAATTCGAGTCATTTACGAAATAAATAATAGTAAAAACAGGTAGCCATACAAAATAAAAAATTATTAATGAATCTAGACTTTTCTGTTCTGCTGAATACCTTGTTTAGTTAAAGAAAAGAAAGACAAGATTTCTAAGAGACTATACCGTCAAAGTGATCCAAATGCATGTGCGAGGGGTGGGTCCATACACTTGTCTGAATCATGCAAAATTAACTAGGGAACATATGGGACACGGCCACAAAAAGATCCATGTACAAGTTAAATCAAGCTAAAGCTAAGGTTCATCCTTATGAAATATCAAGTAAAAGCTGGAATGGTGGTTTTCACTTTTTGTGTTCAAAGTATCTGACTACTACTTCCAATTTTCCCACTTTACTCCTCGATTAGCTTACTTGTTCTTTTTGTTCTTTGTCTGAAAAGTAAGGGAGGGAGATCAGAAAAGAGGAAGGCCGGAAAGACTTAGAGAGTGTCCAAGAAATAGAAGAGCCAGCACGGTTGCACAGAAGGCTGCATGATTTTTCTTTGCTGCAAAGATGTTCTTCCCTGAAGCCACCGCACTTCTGCTATCAGTTGTTCTTGCTTTCAGTTGGTTAGACACGAACAAGCTTGATGCTGCTAACCTGCCTCAAGATGAGGGTAGACATAGTTCCCTCTTAGCTGCTTGTTTTTCTTGGATATTATGTAATAGTATTAATATTCTTGTTATTTGACTTGTGATTTTATTAGTGAATATTCTGAACCAAATTGCCAGAACGATGGGAAATAGCGACTGGAATTTCGATGCGGACGTCTGCAATGTTACAGAGAATGTGGACAGGGGCACGGGTTCCGAGAAAAACATTACTTGCACTTGCCAAAATGGAACCTGCCACGTTACACATATGTAAGTTTCCGAAGAATGAAGGACCAAAAGGACAAATTCGTGTTCAGAAGAAAAATGGAGTCTAAGATATAGACAATTATGAAAGGATTAAATGGCTAATATTGGGTTTGTTTTGGATTCTTAGAATATTCAAGCTTCAGAGCCTTCCAGGAGTACTTCCAACTGAACTTGTAAATCTTCCTCACCTCAAAGTGATGTAAGCACCTCTGCTCTCTTTTGGCTTTGAATTTTTTCTTTGGAGTTCATTTTGGGGAAATTCTAAGAAAATAGGGATGACAACAATCAAACCAAGTCTGAGGTGTTTTCTCTCTTATGCTTTAAGAATGATGAAAATCAGAGCGGGGGCAACTATGTGAATTAAACTGTTTTCATTCCATTATTTTCTTGGACATTCAACAGTAAAATGTGTATTAAGCCCAAATCTATTTGGCATGCAGTGATTTTGCATACAACGATCTCAGTGGGTCAATTCCACCTGAATGGGCTTCAATGCAGCTTGAGTTCATGTGAGTTATCGTTTCATTGTGTATGATCAATCTTTGATTGAAAAGAAAACAAAGTTTTTCTCGTGTAGCTAACCAAGCAACCTGAGTGCAGCTCTGTCTTTGGAAACCGATTATCTGGGAATATTCCAACTTATTTGGGAAACATTAGCAGCCTTACATACTTGTAAGTTTTGAAGTACCTTCATTTACAGGAGACAGACGTTTCAAAATTGATGTTCTTTCCAGTCCATTAGTTTTATGTTTTGTGCTAAGCTTATGAAATGATATACTGTTCACTCTCCTGATGGCTTATTAACACACAAATTATCTAGGCTTCCTGGCAATGAAAGGAAGACAAATGTTTGAATTGATCAAGAAAGATTTTACTCTTATCTCTAGTAATTTCAATGTAAGTACTTTACAGGGACCTTGAAGCAAATCAATTTTCAGGAGAAGTTCCTCCAGAGATTGGGAAGTTAGTTAACTTGAGAACTTTGTAAGGCATTTCATGACCTCTATACAATCTATACAATTTTAACTTTCCTGACCTATCCTCTTAAACTTGTTAAAAGAAGGAATAAGCTATACTTTTATAATTAGTGTACTTTGGACAGATGAAGTTTATAATTATCTTTGCAGGAGATTGTCATCCAACAGACTGAGCGGAAATTTGCCCGTGCAACTTTCTCAACTGAAAAACTTAACAGACTTGTAAGCTTTTAATTAACTTATACTAGTAGGATGTCACAAAAATTTAGCAGAAGTATAATTTGTAAATGTTATTATTATACAATGCAGTAGGATAAATGACAACAACTTTAATGGGAGTATACCAGATTTCATTCAGAACTGGAAGAATCTTCAAAGATTGTAAGATCCTCAACTTTCAAAAGGTTTTTAAGTGCCTTTCAAGTTTATGAGACTTTAAAACTTGTATTTTTCTCTTGAACTGATTGTTTTCACATGTACTGATTGTTTTTGCATGATTGAATTGACCAGAGAAATGCAAGCTAGTGGACTTGAAGGTCCAATTCCATCATCCATCTCTGCTTTGAGAAACTTAATAACCTTGTAAGTGAAAGCGTCTAAGCAGAAGATTACAGACAAAGGTTTGTTAATATGTTGTTGCTAAACTTTTTGTTCTTAATGGCATGTGTACTTACAGGATAATCAGTGATATAAATGGAACAAATCAGCCTTTTCCTGATTTTTGGAACATGACAGGAATCAATCGGATGTACATTTGCTGCTTATCTTATATTCTTGTTTGAAGGCTTATGATGTTAGCCTTTTTTATCATTGCATCTGACATTGCTGTTCTTGGAAATTGTAGAGTATTGAAGAAATGCAACATTATTGGGCAAATCCCACAAGAGATCTGGCAACTGAGTAAATTACACGTTTTGTAAGTATAAAACATGATTCTTCAGACAAAAAGTAGTGAGTTTTATGTTGTTTCAAACTTTATGGTTTTTAGAAGCATTATGAATCTAAAAGGAGAAATGAGAAGACTGTAATATGTAAATTGGACTCCTACTGCACTGCTGGAGACGCAGTCCTGATCTGTTCTGCTTAAATAGAATTTAGTGACTTGTAACTCTTTTCAATGGCTCAGGTGGATCTTTATGCTTCTATTTTGTGTCTGTGCCAAAAATTAATATTTTCTCACTTATTTTTGTGTTTGGCTCACTATAAGCTGTAGAGTATAAAACTAAGCTAAAAGGAATTTGCACTCATCTAGATTTAACTTTTGTTCCTTTAGTTAAAGTTTTATAATTTTTTTTCATCATCAGCAGATGTCACTAGACCTGAATAACTAACATAGATTTTCTTGTGAATTTGGAAGAGATCTCAGTTTTAACAGTTTGAGTGGGGAACTTATCAAAGTCACTCTCCCTCGGGATTTAAAATTCCTGTAAGTTTCTCTTCCTTTATTCTCTTGGACAGGAATCATGTAAGTTTTGAAGAAACATTTGATGCTGACTTTCTGCTATGTCCCTAATACTGACTGATGTATTGATGTCAGCTACCTGACAGGCAACAAGCTCAGTGGAAATATACCAGCGTCAATGTTGCAGACAGGACTTGCCTTGTATGTATTTCCGACTAGGATTCTCTGAATCTAATATTTATTTGAGGAATATATATGTGCAATTCTTCACATGCAGAGATCTTTGAGAAGACAGTTTTATTTCTTTCTTGCATTCAGGGATCTTTCCTACAATAATTTCACATGGCAAAGCCCTGAGCAGCCTGCTTGTACACGGAAATTGTTGGTTCTTTTTCTTTTTCCTTGAATTGAATAGAATCATCTTCTTCCTGTATGCTTTCCTGGGCTGTAGTGTATTGACTTATATTGAATTTTGCTTTTCAAATAGGGACAATATAAATTTGTTTCGCAGTTCTTCAGCAGAATACCTGTAAGGTTCTGTTCTTGGCTTCTTGATTTTTTTTTTTTTGTAGATTACAATTCAACCTTATGCCACAGAATTTGATGTCACACTACATTCATTCATTTGATTGCTAATCTGTCTTTTGTTTTTGGTCCTTTCTTTTCATGACATAAAAGGAGAAGGGGAGTTATTCCATGCACGAGTGATTTCAAATGTCAGAAATGTAAGTACACTCTATCTTTTGCTGTGAATGTGAAATCTAATTGTAATACTTACCTTAAAATTTATGCCTTCCAATTTGCAAGCTTGTTTCAAAGATTTATTCTTAGTTTATTGAAATCTCAGCTAAAGGATCATCTACAGCTTGATAGAAGATTAGCATTAATATAACATATTTATATATTTAATTAATATAGTTTTTTGTTTCGACCAAAATTAGTGTAGTAAAATGTGGTCATTCCTCTTGTAAAGTTTTGCCGTAAAGTTCTGCCATAAAGTTTATACATGCAGTTAGCAAGCTGTTAACATGGAAAGTGTAATTTAATGATTATCTTTATCACTTCTGTTTGTCTTGGTAGAATCTTGTCAGCTGCTTTCTATGTAGCTAATGTAGTTGTCTCTGGCAGATTGGCATTCTATGTATATCAATTGTGGTGGAGATAATGATGTGAAAATAAATGGGACAATGTATGTAGGAGATGCGAAATCTGGTTTAGGTGGTGCTGCAACATTATATTGGAACAATGAGAACTGGGGTTTTAGTAGCACTGGAGACTTCAGGGATGACAATGATGAACTGAATGCAGCATCACGTTATCTAAAGCAGTCAGCAAGCATGACTAATCAGTTATATGCCACAGCACGTCTATCTCCACTTTCACTTACTTATTATCGATATTGTTTAGAGAATGGGAGCTATACGGTGAGACTACACTTTGCGGAGATCGAGATCACAAATAACACAAGATATGCAAGACTTGGAAGGCGCATTTTCAACATTTATATTCAGGTAATCTATAACCATTGAGAAACTAGCTCCTTTAGAAAGAATCTGACCATTGAATGTTGTCATCTGCAGAATTCTGTTTGTCCTATTAATTCAACTTGGTTAGCATGTTAGCATGTGCCTTGTTTTCAGCTTTGTTCTTGAGATACCATTTGGTCTCTATTCGTTTGATAAATAGGTGTCGGTGAATTTCCATGATGCAGGATGAGCTGGTGGAAGAAGACTTCAATATAGAAGCTGAAGCTGGTGGACCTCTTACCCCACTAACGAAACACTATAATGTTAATGTAACGAATGGTGAAATAGAGATCCGCTTCTATTGGGCTGGAAAAGGGACTCAAGCAATTCCTAGTCGAGGAGTCCATGGCGCTCTCATATCAGCCATGTCACTCGATCCCAGTATGTGATCTACTTTCTCCTTCTTCCTCATCCTTATCTGCGCCTTCCTTTTGTATTGCACAATTGAAAATTAGTTTTGTTTTGAATTATTTTCAAGCTTAACTTTGATTAGCACAATGGATTTATGAGTTGAGTTTTTTTGGCAGATTTCAAACCTCAGCATGCAGAGAAGAAAACAAAGACTTTGCCAATTGTTGTTGGTGTCCTAGGATCATTTCTCGTATTCTTGGTATCGGGTGTCCTTTGCTGGAGATACTATTTCAAAACCAAAAGCCAGAGAGAAAAAGGTTAGGGTGTTTTAGTAGCAGAAGTTAATGCTTTGAAAAATTCATGCCAAAAACTCTTCTTTTATGTTATCTCAGATAGGCAAACCATTCCTGAAAACAGGATTTTCACATGCCAAAGTTGTTTACTTTCATACAGAATGTTACTAGTAAACGGCCATGCACATGTTGGACTCATTGGAGGCCTTCTACTTTTTCTTTTAATGAATCTATATACAATGGATCAGGAGACTTGCTTACTGCGTTCTTACCCCTCTTCTTTTTACAGATCTTGAGGGACTAGATCTTCAAACAGTTTCTTTCACCTTGAAGCAGATCAAGGCTGCTACCAACAATTTTGATTCTGTAAACAAGATTGGAGAGGGTGGATTTGGGCCTGTTTACAAGGTATTCAAGCTAAATATGTGTCAAATGAAATCCTATTTAATATGAAATTTCGATTTTAGAGATGCTACTCAATTTCATGACTGGATGACAGGGTCAGCTAGCTGATGGAACAATAATTGCTGTCAAGCAGCTCTCTTCAAAGTCAAGTCAGGGAAATCGTGAATTCTTGAATGAGATGGGCATCTTTTCATGTTTGCAACACCCCAATCTCGTAAAGCTTTATGGATGCTGTATCGAAGGGAATCAACTGTTGCTAGTATACGAGTACATGGAAAATAATAGCCTTTCTCGGGCTTTGTTTGGTAAGTTTAATAAACAATTAGTATGCTAACTAGGGTACCTGTGATTTATTTGAATTATAAAATATTTCCTGGGATTATCATGTTCAGGACCAGAATACTCACGAATAAATCTGGAGTGGCCTACCAGGCACAAGATTTGTGTTGGAATAGCTAGAGGTTTGGCGTTTCTCCATGAGGAGTCTAGACTCAAAATTGTGCACAGAGACATCAAAGCTACCAATGTTCTTCTTGATAGAGACCTCAATCCTAAAATATCTGACTTTGGATTGGCCAAGCTTCACGAAGAGGAAAAAACTCACATCAGCACACGAATTGCTGGAACAATGTAAGCCAACCATTAGTTTGCAATGTTGTTTTAGTTGAAAAGTTTCCTTCCAACTTTAAAGGTAAATTTCGTTAAATGCAGAGGATATATTGCACCAGAGTATGCACTGTGGGGTTATTTGACCTACAAGGCAGATGTTTACAGCTTTGGAATAGTGGCATTGGAGCTTGTCAGTGGAAAGCGTAATCTGAATTATGGGCCAGGCGACAAACATACTTGCCTTCTAGATTGGGTAACCACTGATTTATTTCCTTATTTCTGCATCTGGCGGATGTTGTTTCTGTATCTTCATATACATTGTACCTCCCAACCCTATATTTCAGATATCGCATAACCTGTTTGATTCCTGTCTTTATTATAGTTGTTTTCATGTGATCTGCAGGCCTGTCATTTACAACAAAGTGGAAAGCTATTAGAGTTAGTGGATGATAAGCTGGGATCTGAATATAATAAATCAGAAGCAGAAGGCATGATTAAAGTAGCTCTTTTATGCACAAATGCTTCACCTTCTCTGAGGCCAACAATGTCCCAAGTGGTGGAAATGCTGGAAGGAACAATTACCATTCCCGATGCAGTCCCTAACGCGAGTAGCTACAGTGAGGATTTAAGGTTTAAAGCCATCAGAGACCATCGTAGCTCTATATATAGTCAGACTTTTGGAGAAAGCCAGGGGCCTAGTACAACATATTCAGGATCTCAATTCGAATCTTCCTCTACTTCTGCTCTTACCATCACTGACGCCAACGAGGAGTCTTAAATCCACAGATGTACACTGTTTTCGGCTATTTAGGATTGTCCTCCCTTTTAGACATAATATTCAATAAAATATCTTCTTTACCCACTCATGGAAATTCAAATTCAAGTTATTGTATATTTATTTTAAATTAATTAAGTTTTTATGTTTTTTTTATTTTAAATTAAATAATTTTTTATAATTAATAATTAATTTAATAAAAATATCACTTGTTATTTTATATCGAGTGACATAAATATAATATATTAAACTATCATAATTAATTAAGATGTGGCATGTTGATATATCATAATTGATGATAATATGATATGTTAATTTAACATGATTACATGATTATGTTGTATTTTTTACTCTTCACATTAATACTATATCAGTGTTAATATTATATCAGTGTTGTGAAAATATAAAATAATAAATGATATTTTTATTTATGTTACTTAGTTAATTATTAATTATAAAATTTTATTTTATTTAAAATAAAAATAAAAATATTTAATTAATTATAATAAAAAATAAAAATTTATTTAAATATTTTTAAATAATTTAAAAATATATTTAAACATTATACCTTCCTTTTAATATATCTTTTATTTTTTGACCTCCTTTGTGCAAGTGTATAAGATTATAACTCATATTTTGTATTTATATAACTATTACTCTTTTCTCACAAAAAACTGAGCACGCTTACTCTCAATGGGCTCTGATGGCAAAGCCCATTATTCACAAAGCTATCAAATCAGACCATAAACATCAATTCCCAAGCCCAAAGCTATCAAATCAGACCATAACATCAATTCCTAGTAGGTAGAGTAGGCCGTCATAATCACAATCACAATCACATCTAAAGACCGCCACCAAGGATTGTCTCTTGGCGTTTTCCAATCAGTGGAGGAAAAGAAACCTAGACAATTCACATATTTGAAGCTCGAGATATCTTAGTCATAGCTTCCTTTGTCCATCGGACAGTTCCCTGTTCCTCTGCCATTTTGAGAATTGACTACTGTATAATTTCTCCACCTGAATCAATCAAATCATCGTTTCTTCAAAATTAGGGGCACAGGGGCATCATAAATCAGTTGTTTTCAGACGCCTGTGTCGGTACTCGGTGGTCGTAATATTAAACTTCTTTTATTATTACAAGCTTTCCGTACCTGACGGTTGGATGAACATTAAATTTTGGTATTGCTCCCAGGTTGAGAAAATCGGTGAATCCTACAGGTGAAGGGAAACAAGCGATCAGCAGCCTATTTGGAAGAACAAAAACAGAGTCAACTGAAGACAACGGCTTTCACTTTTTAGTCTCCATCGGGCAATTAATGATTTGTGGGTGCAAATTGAGATTCCCACTACCTCAAAGTGACTGGTGTTGATTAATTTCGACATCTAGCCAATGAGCCAAATCTTCCATGCCACTATCAAAAGCAAAATCCCTCAGGCTTATCTCCCCTGATTGAATTTGAATAAGAATTATGAATTAGATTTATATACTACTTAGTAAAATGTTTTATCTTTCTTGAAAAGAATAATTATAATAATAAAAAATTAGGCAAACACATTGCCAAAGGGTTTATGCTTTTTGCAAGAAGAATACGGTGGGCGTCAGCTAAGACAGCTTGCTCATAGCGTTTAACTAGTTGATACTTTCATATATGAATTTGTATATACTGTTAGATTTTATGTAACATGCTTAAACAGTATGCATGGTAGTAGATTCTCAGGCACCTGTCAATTTTTGGGCATTAAGCAGTGTTTTAATCAAATATTATATTTGGTTAAGTAAGAAAAAAACACATTCTTCCCCTATAAAGAGGGAAATAAACCTGATTTTGCTTCCCTCAACTTCTGAGATAATGTTTTTGAATGCTTCAATAATCATTTCATTAGTTGTTTGCCTTCAAATAACCATGCAATTTTCTCATAGGTAATAATCCTGCCTTAAAAAATTGATGAGACGAGCAAAGAACGTAGAAGAGACTGTTTCATGCCATGCTCTGGAAATTTGATAAGACATATACACCTTGCTTTGGACATGTTTGATTTGATCAACGAGTACATCGTAACTGGACCATGCAAACTGAGAAATCGCCTCAGAACCAAAAAGGGTGTTTGGTCTGGTCCTGTTTTGACTATAAAAAGAGTCCCTGTTTAGTCTTAGCATCGGAAAATCTTGTGACGTCTGGGCTTTTTGCTGAATGTGGGCTGCTGGAGTGAGATGGGTCCTCACTGATTAAGATATGGAATTATAAAAACCATCAAGGAAGTAAATTATAATCCATTTAAGTAGCTGGCATTCAAACTAAGATGTGATCAAACTTCAGGAACATGATAAAAGTTTGTAGTAAAAGCAACAAAAGGTGGTTGCGTGCTTCGACTCGTGACTGCGTTCTTAGCTTACATACAAATATTTTTGTTTAAGAGATGGAAAACGTGAAAATTGTTGGAAGGCAAAAAGATGATTAATTTGATTTACTTTGTTAGGTAAGAATTAAGACTAATCATCTGGTAATGACAATAGAAAAATGGGAATGTAAGTTTTCAGACATAAAAAAAGTGAAAAATGAAAAGAAAGCATAATAAAGTGGTTTAAATATAACCATTCGCCCATGTGCTTGGTAGGATGTTCATCGTGTTTTGCGACCAGGTCTTACACCAGCATTTTCTCTCTTGAACTTTTCCACCATTCTCTATTTGTCTACTAATCCTTTTGAAACTATTTGAGCTTTGTTATCATATCAAGCGAGTCACGTTCATGTCAAACATGTCTATCCTGTTTAATTTTTTAACAAAAAGATAATGACTCGTGACATTTAAGCAAAAGTTTCACGATTGAGTAAACTTTATCTTGTTGATTGAATGAAAAAATTGACTAGTTATTAAGAAAAATGAAAATTTTATTAGGGAATGGATTATCAACAAAGCACAATGGATCTGATGAAGCATTGTTATTTGACATTGACTCTTAGATTCTGATTAGTTAATGATATCCATTTGGTATACAAACAATCACCAAATTAAACATCCCACTGCCAACTGGAGATTTCTTTTATTTATTAAATAATTCTGTAAAACTTTACTCACCCTTTTGAAATTACGGTGTTTGAAAATTTGGCATTGGCCATTGTGACCAACGTGCCATCATTTACTGGCACGTGACGTGGTCAATTTACCATTTTTTGTTCATTTTCTGTCGGTGGAGGGTAATATAATATGGCTAAGTGGTGTTTTTCTTTTCACGAAATTTCTAAAAAAGAAATTCAAAAGTAAACTAAATCGCACAACTTAAATTAGTTCGAAGTCTTAAAAATGGAGGAAGAATTATCCAAAAGTCTAAATGCTGTGTAGCACATTGAAAACTGTACTGGATTTCAACGAGCCCCATCCAAGGTGGCGACTAACAGGTTACAAAAAATTTACTGTAGCAATAAAAATTGAATAATAATGGAAGTGACCGAAGGGGATAGTGACACTGTAACCAAGATTCCCGATATTTTTAGACAATTGTTTCATTCCTTTGTATAAACAACTAAAAACATAACTAAACACATTTTTTGAAGTCCTTGGTCGGAGGTATTTGGCTACATGCAAACAAAACTAGTAAAGTCTGCAACTGTCCTTGCCTTATTATAGCAACTTGGTCTAGCTAGACTTCAAAGCTGGATCGAGCTGAGCAGCTACCCATAGTTTCTTTGAAAGCTAAATCCTTCAAAGTTGTTTGCTACTTTCATCATGGTTACAAAGAAACTGTTTGTCTTCTTGATTATTGCCATGGGTTGCTTTAGGTTGCTGAGATTTGCTGCGTCAAAGGTGCCGCAAGAAGAAGGTGAGTCAGAGTGAAAGATTTTCATTTTCTTTTGGTTGTTTTATTTGGTTGATCAGATAATGTGGGAAAATGGGTGTTTTTTTTGTTGCTGGAAAAATGAAAGAAAGTGGAAAGAAATTGAAATTTTTAACAAGGTTTATCTTTTGTTAAATTTTGGTACTTCAAATTAAGGCTCATGACAAGAACTTATCTTTTTCTGGCTTTTCTGCTGATTTATCTAGTCAAATATTGCTGGTTTTCTCTAATTTTCTTAAGCTAACCAAACCAGAAATCTATGAGGATCTTGCTGCTGTATATTCTAGGATTTATTAACAAAATATCTGTTTATGGTGAAAGTGAATGGTATATATAATTGCTGAAATACTCTTCTTCCATGCTCAAATGATACTGAATTTCTGGTCCTGAGGAACAAAAGAAATCATATATAATGATGAAATAGATTTTTGGTTTTCACCACTCTGTGTGATCTTTGGCATGCTTGCTGAAAAAAATTGACCAAGTACTTGAGTAAGGAGCTTAATCCATTTAAACAGTTAATCCTTATATTTTCCAGTCCTTCCCGTATTGTTTGTAGGTTTACAAGATTCAAATGCTGATCCTAGTTTATATTATTAGTATTAGTCTTTTTTTTTTATCAAATATTATTGTCAGCCAAAACAAAATTTCAAAATTGGGTTGCAGTTCTTTCAAAAACAACGGGTAAACCAGAAAGGAATCTTTGAGATTTGAGATGAAGTGTATTTTTGGCATTTACTTCTATCTGGCAATGCATCTTCTTTGTTTGATAAATTCCAATCCTTCCGGCATTTGGATGCTTTATTCAATTTGTAGTTTAAATTGAATTTGCAAACATTTATTATGTTATTTCTTTCCAGACATGTTTAACAATTCTTAGACCTTGTCGCTGAAGCAAACTGCTGGTTTTAAGTTCTCTCTCTCTTTGAAGATTGCATGATCTACTCTTTTATTCCTTTTGTGCAATACTAGTAAGGGAGTTGAATTTATCAAGATGTTAAGAAATGAAGCTAGATCAGTTTTTGTCATTTTATTTTCATGCATTATGCTGTGATGCTTATGGAAATATGAATGTCTTCTAGTTGATGCTTTGCAAGAGATTACTGCTACGATGGGCTCAAGGTACTGGAAATTTAATGGTGATTCCTGTGAAGTTGAAATGGTTGGGGTAACACTGGAGCCACCAAAGAATTCTGAGCATGAGATCTCTTGTGAATGTGAGACGAACAGCAATGTTTGTTACGTCGTAAGGATGTATTATTCCTTCATCTTAGTACTGAATATTTTATGTTAAATTCTTTCATTTGATCAAGTGTGATTCTATTCTATAATTTTGGATCTGCATAGTAGTTTCTAATTAAGGTGAATCTGAGAGGGTTTGAACAACTTAACATTTGAGGGTATTATTGGCTGTTGTATCCTAAGTAGCTGCTATTTGCATAAATCCTGCTTTTGAGGCATGGTTTCCAAGTACATATGTGCATACCCCCTTAAATCATTGACCATGGCAAAGCCATTTGAGTAGCTATTTAACTCTTTCAGTAATTTATGAAATTTTATGATTTCCTTAGAGTGGCTACTAGTATCAATCTCTGTTATGTTGGTTGTTGTACATCCTGATATTTCATGTTCCATGTATGTCAGAGTGCTCAAGGGTTATAACCTTCCTGGAATGCTTCCTCCTCAACTGGTTAAGCTTCCTCACCTTCGAGAAATGTAAGATCCTTTGAAATAAGTAACTATGGTGTTTATATTTTACATCCTAATTGTTTGTGCAACACTCTAGAACCGTCATAGATAACTGCTCTAAGTAATCGTTCTTTGTATTGTAGTGATTTTGCTTACAACTACCTAAATGGCACCTTTCCAAGTGCATGGGCTTCAATGAAGTTGACTACGATGTAAGTCTTTTCAAATTCTTACATACATACATATATATATATATATATATATTTTCTTCTATCATAAATTAACCAGAAATTTTTCCTGCAGCTCTGTTCTTGTAAATCGCTTGTCAGGGGAAATTCCTAAGCACCTGGGAAATATTACCACTCTCACAAATCTGTATGTTCTGAAGTTTGATTAATTGTATTTAATTAGTTAAACTTTTGAGAGTTTTATGGTGATTGGAGTCCTTGAAATTGAATCAAGTTGCAAAACCAAACTAGCAAAGCCTGTTTTTTATTAGATGTATAGCTACCTAAAACCTATAGGTTCTTTCATAATCCTTTCTCATTCAATAGGAAATTCTTGAAAAAGTGTGTGATATCTTTTGATATCTTTTTAATCAGGTCCCTTGAAGCAAATCAATTCTCTGGTGCCGTACCGCCTGAACTTGGGAATTTAATCAACTTGAAAACATTGTAAGGAGAACCCAGTCTCTATATCTTCTTCTTCTTCGTTTAATATTTTCTAATTCTTTGGATTTCCTGTTACATATTTCACTTGCTTGTCAACTTTAAATCATGTGTATTCGTTTTATGTTTATTGCTTAAATATTGTAATTTCAGGATGCTCTCCTCCAATCAGTTAACTGGAAACTTGCCAGTGACATTTGCTTTGCTAAGAAATCTAACTGATTTGTAAGTTTATTCAAATTTCTCCTTATTTTAAGCCATATATCTAGATATGTTCATCAGAGCAACAGCATTTTGTTGTCTATTGCAGTAGGATAAATGATAACAATTTCAATGGTACCATACCGAGTTTCATACAAAAATGGGAACAACTCAGGAGACTGTAAGATCCTTATTTAACATAAAATTCAGATCTTATATATATATATATATATATATATATATGTATTCATTTTCTTACAATTAAACTTGTTTATTCTGAATAATTGCAGAGAAATGCATGCAAGTGGACTTGAGGGACCAATACCAACAAGCATATCACTTTTGAGTAATTTAGTTGAGCTGTGAGTATAATGCCTCCTTTATTTGTAGTCATTGACTTTATATCGCATAGCTAGTTTTTTGTTTTTCGTTGATGGCTCATGAATGCTGGACTTGTTTTTATGCAGGAGGATTAGTGATATAAATGGGCCAAATCAGGGTTTTCCTATGGTCAGAAACATGACAGGCATAGTAAGATTGTATGTTTAGTGCTCACATCCTCAAATATATTGTAGGTGCCATCTATATATGATCCATTTTGACTAAATGTGATCCGGTTATATATTTTAGGGTTTTGAGGAATTGTAACATTTTTGGAGAGATCCCTGCTTATGTTTGGGCAATGAAGAATCTGGAAATGTTGTAAGTAAAGCATGCGTAACGTTTAATGGTATCAAGTTTCCGCACCTTCCAATGTTTGCAATCACTTTCACAGGACACTCATACAAGGGGCCAAATTTTATTATTATTAGTATTGCAGTCATGAACGTAACTGTTCTTTGATTCAGCATGGATTTGTCCTCCATTCTCCTTTTAGGAAACTAAGATTATTGCCTCGATAACTTTCAATTAGCAACCACAGTTACATAGTTCACCACCATCTTGCTGCAGAGTGGACATTGGTCTAACTGTAGACTGCAGACGAATTTTTCATAATACAAAGGAAAGACTTTATATCTTGTGTAAGTCTTGTGCTGAAAAATCTTGATCTTTACGCTTTAAATAGAAATTGAACAAGGATCAGGCTTATAAGTAAAAATATATCAAAGGGTGCCAACATAGCACTTAGAAGACAAATTTGGGATGTCTTTACGAATGGTACATACCTGTTGCAGTCACAGGAGCATGTACTAGAATACACTTAAAACACAAAATACCGGGCACTTTTAGAATTAATAAACATGTCAAAACTACACTATGTGTTTCTTTCTTTTTTTGTATTAACTGTTGTCTAGTTTGCTTCTATTTTTGAATTGAGAATGATTGCTTAAGGCAAATATTTTGAAAGCAAAGTTTGTTATTTGCCCCCTGTTGCTTTCCTAGGAGATAATATTTACACAATAGGTCTCTATTATTTATTAGGTCAAATCTGCCTTATGAACCTTCTTCAATAGATATCTATCACCAAGTTATTGCCGGAAATGATCTCATATTATTTGGATTCAAAGAGTGAATTAATTATTATCTTTTAAAGACTCTTAGTTTACAAAATCATGTTTAAAACTTTGAGCACTGGCATAAAATTATCAAACTCTACTGCAACAGGGATGTCAGTTTCAACAAGTTAGTTGGGAAAATTCCAACCAGCATACAAGCAGATCGTCTAAGATTTGTGTAAGTACTAACTTCAAATTGTGGCTTCATTTAGTTTTCGTTTGGACTTGATCACAGAGAAACATTGTTTGTTTTTTTTTTTTTATGGGGAAACGTTGTTTAAGATGCTGAATGAGCAATTTGAACTTTTTAATTGTAAAAGCCAGAATATATGGCAATGAGCAAAAATAGAAGCTCACAGTCATAATTTTAGGAATGAGAGGAATTGAAACAGAGATTGAATTCTAAATTTGTTTTACAATCCAGCACCACTTAACAAACTGACATGGATATGTGAAATTAAAATTTTAAATTAGAGATTATTTGATTGCTTTCTTTTATTTTGATTAAGATGACATACTGACCATCTGATATGGTTTTTATAAGCTTTTTAAGTGGCAACATGCTAAGTGGAGATGTGCCAGACTCAATCTTGAAGCAAGGGAGTAGCATGTATGTTTCTGTCTGATAGTTCTTATCATATTTCCATTTCTCCCCTTTGTTTTGTCAACTTGCAATCCAACATTCAATCTATTTTCTCCTCATGTGGTTCATTCAAAGGCCAATATATGCACTCTGCCTGGTGTTTATATTTCTGAAAGAGCTTCACTGGTTTTTTAAGCCTAGATGCACTACTCATAACACTCAAGGGGGAAAAAGGAAGAGAAAAAGATCTCTCTAAATAATCAAATACTATTATTTAAGTTCATTCTCATCCTTATTTTGGAAGTTGATATTCATTCTCAATGCTTGGATGCAGTGATCTTTCGTACAATAACTTCACATGGCAAGGCCCTGAGAAACCTGTTTGTTGGGAGAACATGTTAGGCTACTTTTGTATTATTCTTTCCTTTATACCTTTTATCCTTGATTTGATATGGAGCTAATAATTATTTCATTTTGTCCTTAGGAATCTGAACCTAAATTTGTTTCGCAGCTCTTCATCAAGGAACAACTTGTAAGAGTTTTCTTTCCCTTTCTTTCTCTCATTTTTCTTTTTATTACTAATATTTTTGTTGTTGTTCTAGTGTTTGGTGGCTTGATATAGGAAGATCTTGTGTTTGCACTGTTCAACTTTGTGATAATAATTTTCTGTTATGATCTCTGTAACAGGAGGGGAGCTCTTCCATGCAAGAAGGATTTCACCTGTCGTCAGTGTAAGTATGTCTCCTTAGGAGTTGGAATATATGGACTGCTAATCATTAGATTTCTTTCAATTTTATTACTAGATTGGATTTACATACTTGCATTTTGGGCTTTTAACCTTTCTTTCATATGAAGTGACCCAGTACTACAATGATTAGTGTTATCTCTTAGCTTCTCTTATCTCCACTTCTCTCAATTCAAACATATAGCTACTTTTAGAAAAAAAAGATTAGTTAAACCCTACAACTCTCATTGATAAATAAATAATTGTTTTACGTATTTGTATGCATGAGTTGGCAAATCTGCATCCTTGCTATACTTTATGATACAACTTCTCAATAGTTTATCTGGAAACATTTCCGAACAAGAAAGTGCAAACTGTTGTTAGCTTGCCTGAAAGAGTCATACGTGAAGAACACAGGTAAAATGGTCTAATAAAAGATTGATTCGTACGTCCAAGTCTACATTTTTCAAAAAGTATTGGGTTTATGGAATAATATATTGCAATTGTGTTGATAGAACATTTAAGGAACAACATCATACTTTGTTAGAAATTGACTTTTTAAGTATGTCGCATTTCCTTAAATATATTATTGAGCTTATTTCTTTGTTTAATACCAAATCATTTCCTTGTCACAGATTCAAATTGTTTACATGTTAATTGTGGTGGAAAGGACACAAGGATCAACACAAATTTATTATATGAAGGAGATGGAGATGTTGAGGGGGGAGCAGCAAAATACTATATTAGAGATGATGGCTATTGGGGATTTAGTAGCACAGGAGACTTTATGGATGACAATGATTTTCAAAATACACGTTATACCGTATCAAAGCTGTCATTAAACATCTCAGAACTGTACACAACAGCCCGCAGAGCTCCAATATCACTCTCTTATTTCCATTATTGCTTAGAGAACGGAAATTACACAATAACTTTGGATTTTGCAGAGATACAGTTTACTACTGATGAAACATATAACAGCCTTGGCAGGCGCATATTTGACATTTATGTTCAGGTGATTAAACACACCTTTGAAAATACATACTTTTTGAAGTTGCAAATGAGGATACATTAATTTACATTTGTATTTTTTGCTCAAATTTAATTTACATTTGTAACAGGAAAAATTATTGTGGAAGGACTTCAATATTGAATCAGAGGCAAGGAGTGCTCAAAAGCCTTTAGTAAAACAAGTTCCTAATGTAAGTGTGACAAATAATTTCTTGGAGATTCGATTCTATTGGGCTGGCAAAGGAACAACGAGGATTCCTAAAAGGGGTGTCTATGGGCCACTTGTATCAGCTATTTCTGTAGTTTCAGGTATACTATCTGCATAATCTTTCCATGTACATTGAGCACATGCAGTTCTTTTTATTTTAAGGCTACCTTTCCCCCCAAAACAATACACACACACATTATAACAAAAATAGGTGAAAAGTGGAGAAAAATTCTCTTCTGATAGGCCTTTTTGGTTCAGCTAATGAATCTCGCTGTTTTGGCAGATTTTAAACAATGCTCAAATGGAAGAAACAAGGGAACTGCTAATATTATTGTTGGGGTTGTAATATCATGCCTTGTCCTCTTCGTAGTGGGAATTCTTTGGTGGAAATGCGGTTTGCTTGGAAAATATTGGAGGAAAGAAGGTCAGCCTATATTCTATCATTGCATTTATAGACATTCAACTGGCAGAATGTCTCTTGTATTTCCCAATTGTGCAGGGTTATGCCACCTTTTCTTGGTTTGTTATAAATAAATTAATTGCAGGAATAGCAGCAAAAGTTGTTAGGTCATTTTTCTGTTCAAGTTACTGTAGCTTTGCCCTCAATGGTGCAATTAAATTACCTGTCATGAATACAGTACAATCTAAATTATTAATGCTCTTGTTAGTCACCCTACTTAAAATTCAGGAAATCATTTATTTTTCTAATTTAAAGAATTATTAAAGAAGTAAATGCAATTTTGGCTCTTTGCAAACAGATACCAAAGGAGACATGCTGTCAGGGACTTTTTCTTTGAAACAGATTAAAGTTGCCACGGATGACTTCAATTCTGCTAACAAGATTGGAGAAGGTGGTTTTGGTCCTGTGTACAAGGTACTAAACGTTATGTGACTATCCTCATAGTATTAATTTCTATTTTAGTTAACATACGAGAATCTAATAAAGGTCAGGGTGCAGGGTCAGTTACCTGATGGTACCAAGATTGCAGTAAAGCAGCTCTCATCTAAATCACGGCAAGGAAATCGTGAATTTCTAAATGAGATTGGGATGATATCTTGTTTGCAACACCCAAATCTTGTCAAGCTTCATGGATTTTGTGTTGAAGGGGATCAATTGCTACTGGTATATGAGTACATGGAAAACAATAGCCTTGCCCTTGCTTTGTTTGGTGAGTGTTGTATCATGCACTCATGGTTTTTTTCCTTCTTACTTTGTAACTATTATAGATCAAGACATGATTAACTGATGTTCATGTTGCACATGGATAAGACTAAATCTGGTGAGACATACTTTCTTGGGATAATACGTAGGTCCAGAACACAATCAGCTAGAACTAGACTGGACTACAAGGCTTAAGATCTGTATTGGAATAGCTAGAGGTCTGGCTTTTCTGCATGAAGAATCAAGACTCAAGATTGTTCACAGAGACATCAAAGCTACTAATGTGCTTCTGGATAGTGACTTAAACCCTAAAATATCTGACTTTGGTTTAGCTAGGCTCGATGAAGAGGAGAAGACCCACATCACCACCCGAATTGCTGGAACCATGTGAGTTATTATACCTTTAATAAACAAGAAACGTCCACTTTTTTTTGTCTACTTAAGATACTTGCATGGAGATCATGCTTTGCATAACAACTCCCCAATCTTAATGTGCAGAGGATATATGGCACCAGAATATGCATTATGGGGCCACTTGACACACAAAGCAGATGTTTATAGTTTTGGAGTTGTGGTAATGGAAATCGTTACTGGGAAGAACAACAATAACTTCATGCCAAGTGAAAAGTTTGTTTGTCTTTTAGATTGGGTACTTGCCTACTGTCCTACTCTTGGCGGTCCACTTTCTTTGCAAGTTTTTCAAATTATAACTCTACATTATAATTCTACACTAAAATACGACAAGATATATCAATTATAACTCTACATTGCAGGCATGCCATCTCCAACAAACTGGAAACTTGACAGGGCTTCTTGATGAGAGGTTAAGGTCTGAAGTCAAGAAAGAAGAAGCAGAACTCGTGGTTAAAGTGGCTCTGTTGTGCACAAATGCATCTGCATCACTTAGACCTACTATGTCTGAGGTGGTAAGCATGCTTGAAGGGCGAATGACTGTTCCTGACTTGATACCAGAAACAGGCACCTACACTGAAGATTTAAGGTTTAAGGCCATGAGAGATCTCCGTCGACAGAAGGAAGATCAAAGTTCGAGTGGAAGCCAAACCCAAAATTCAACAACTGTTCATACCTCCTACTCTTCATCTACATCTTATAACTCCAATGAAATCAACCCAGATTCCAGATTTGGTTCATAGCAGCGAGCATTTCTTTCCAGTTGCATACTTCTGTCGTAGAGGCTAGAATACAAGTCTACAAAATCACTTGGGCTGTATCATCTAGCTGGTAAGAATTCAGCACTGCTTAGAAGTTGTAAATAGTCCGAAATTCTTTTGCCAGTTGAGACAGTTTTTTGTTCTATAGTACAAATTCAATTGATTTAATATAAATATCTGAATTCAGATGTACAAAGTTGATAATTTGATGCTTGATACTCTGCAGGTTTTGTGTCCTTGTTTTTCCATTTTTTCTTATAGAATATTAATTAAACATTTGGGTTGGCTGCCAATGGAAACCGGTCAAAAATGTTTTTATAGTCAGGAATTTTGAGAGTGTAAGGAGGTTTCAAAACGAGGGGAAAAAAATTATTAAAAATAAGGTTTTAAGTATGATGGTACGAATTTTTGGTGTATTAATTAGAGAATTTGGTTCGAATCTAGCAAGAGCACATCTTGCTGGTTTTGATCATTATTGCTGTTTAGGTTCTTTGGTGTTTGCTGGTTTTGATCATTATTGCTGTTGATGTGGCTTCAAAGGACCACATGCTGCTTTTCTTTGTTGTCGAGATGCTTCTCTGAAATTGTGGAGGTGATGCTCTGAAGTGCCGCTGGCTATAACTGTGGATATGAATTGTGTTTTACCTGATTCTGTATTTTTGTCATGGGGATGAGGTCTGATTTCTTCTGTTCTTGATGCTAACTGTACATACAGAACAAAGATGTGATATGAAGGGTAGGGGTGTGCTTTTTCTATTGCACTGAGCAAGGGCATCATTGTGTAAATTTTGTTGTAATGAATTGGGTATGCGATGAGGTATGGCGCCTGTGCCAAATGCTGGAAAAACCAGAGAATGACTGCTTAGTGTTTTGCTTGTTGGGGATAATTTTGAACATTGCTCTCCCTTGTCACCTAATGCAGAATACCCTTACGCTACAATTAAGGTTCGACTTAATAACTATCACTCTCCGTAAGAAGATTAACATTCGCGACTTGGATTCGCTTATACATTTAAAAAATGGATGAGCTGAATTGACCTGTCTAAACGTTGACTGATATGTCTAATATACTGGACGAAAACGGAGGCTCATCCTGGGCTCCATGCTATTATGTCTTTTATGGGTCATCATACGTCCCTCTGGCTCTGCACCTATTCTACAAGGCCAACTCTTGCATGGGAGAACCACCAGTATATTTAATACAACAAGACGTGGTTGGACTTATCGGGCGTACTTCTCTTTGGCTAATACTTAATTAAAAGCTTTAATCTCAGGCAGCTTCATGACTTTACGGACAAGCATGTATTATACTTAAAAAAAAATTTAAATCACAATTTCTTTGTTATGTTTTTGTGCTATTTTCCACAAGTGGACAATTCTTAAACTGTGGCCATGTGACCTTTCAATGGCGTTATTCAGCAAGGTTGTCTGCCAGAATCCTTTCACTCAAAAAGAATATAAAATAATGCCCCTACTTTAGGAAAATAATATATATATTATTCCTTAATATAAACTTTCACCTCCACCGTTCTCACCCAGTTTTGCTTTTTCCAATTTAAATCAAATTTAGAAAATAAAGAAGAAACATAAACAGCTAAAGCAGTAGCAGTGGTTGTAGGGTTTTTCCTACTCTACCAAAAACCAGAGTCGGGTCAGTAATTATAAAGCAAATTTACTAATGCAAAATATAGAGTCAGCTCCAAGTTTCCAACAGTAGATAACTTTATCAGTTGCCACCACCTTTTACCACGTGTCTCATTATGATTTGAAACTATGGTTTCTGCAATTGAGAGTAGCATCAGTATTTAAAGCACTGAAAATGAGTCCAAACTCCAAAACCTCCGATCTTTGGTTGAAATGGGATAAGTTAGGTGTCTAAGTTTGCATACCACAGTTAAAACTTGACATTTTCACAATACTTAACAAGACTAATTTGTTTATGTTCTTAATTTTCCCAAGAGCGAGGAAGTCCTGAATCATAAATTCATCAATTGCATAACTGCATATGCAGAGGTGAACCAATTGATATGCTTGAGAATGTTGTGCTTATAGCTCCTATTTTGCAGAGGATACATGGCACCAGAATATGCATTATGGGGCTATCTGACATACAAAGCAGATGTTTATAGTTTTGGCATTGTTGCATTAGAAATTGTTGCTGGAAAGAACAATACAAAATATAGACCAGAGGAGGATTTTGTATGCCTTCAGGATTGGGTAAGATAGAGTTGATGTTTTAGGTTCTAAATGTTATATCTTGGATTCTATTCTTGCGATTGGGATTTGATAGAGATATCCATGCATTCTCTTAAGTGATATGTGCTTTTGGTTTTCCTTTTTGCTGATAAGTGCTCTGTGCATTAAACTTCTGCAAATTCATTAATGCTTTCACTTGAAATTTACTTATATTAAGCATCTTAGCTCTTGTAATGGCATTGTTTTTCCTCCGTAATTTGACCCCCATCTATTTCAGGCTCTTGTTTTACAACAAAAGGGAAATTTAATGGAGTTGGTGGATCCAAGGTTGGGGTCGGAGTTCAACGAGGAAGAGGCAATTAGAATGATAAAAGTAGCTTTATTGTGCACTAATTCATCACCTGCACTTAGACCAATCATGTCTGAGGTGCTAAACATGCTTGAAGGTCGAGCCCTTGTTCCTGAATTAATCATGGACCCAAGTATCGTCGGTGATGAGTTGAGAATTGGAGCCCTGAGGGACCAATGCAACCGAATGCAGACTCGGAAGGACAATGAAACCAGCACGTTTAGACATTCATCAGATTCAACAGCATTGCTGGGCTCTTCTTTATCGTTTGTTCAAGATGCATCAAATCAATCTTGATTTCTTTGCAATGTAAAGACTGACTTAAAAAATCATAGAAATCAGAAATGTGGATTTGTGTTTACTTATTTCCATGATTGCGAGAAAGGGTTTGTTTGGAAATGATCATTTAAAATTGTACTTTGCATCTAGAAGCCCACATACCCCTAGAAACTCATGTTAGACTGCTGGATCTTAGCGGTGCTTATTATGCTCACTCTCAGGGCTACCACAACAATGTAAGAAAAGGCCAAAATTGCTTCCATACCTTCAAAACAAAAAGCTTAAAACTTTTGAATATCTACTGAAGATACTTGCATGAAGGGCATGCTTTGCATAAAACATCACAATCTTGTCTTAATGTCCAGAGAATATGCATTATGGGGCCACCAGACACACAAAACAAAGCAGATATTGGCAGTTGTAGCAATGAAAATCATTACTGGGAAGAGCAGCAATAACTTTTTGCCAAGAGAAAAGTTTGTTTGTCTTTTAGATAGGATACCACAGTCACCTCGACATATAATTAAAGAAAAGAGAAAGTCTTCGGGAGATTGAGAGCAAAACTCAATCAAATCAAAGAAAGTAAAAAGGAAAAGCTAGGAAAGCACATTAGAACAATCCGAAAAGTTATGATTTGAGGAGTTACGAGTGAGGCAAGCATGTCAGTCCTTTATAGGGTGAACTCCATTAACAGAAACACGCGATGTGGGTGCAGAGATTTTTGGTCTTACTTTCCTAATTTTGGCGGTCCACTTTCTGTACCAGTTTCGGATCTCTTCTATACCGAAATATATGATTCTGTATTGCAGGCATGCCATTATGCAACAAACCAGAAACTTGACAGCACTTCTTGATGAGAGGTTAGGGTCTGAAGTCAAAACAAAAGAAGTGGAACTCTTGTTTAAAGTAGCCTTGTTGTAGACAAATGCATCTTCATCTCATAATTAGGCCTACTTTGTTCATAGTAGTGAGCATTCCTTTCCAGTTGCATGTTACTTGGATGAATTATACTTGCTAAGAGACGTGGATCTTCAGGTCTGTCTTACAGGCCAGATCATATATAAATATATTTCAGTCTAGCTATAAGCTGTGGATGTGAACATAAATGATTTGGGCTGTCATCTCGCCAGTTGCCCGTGAGAATCCAGCAGCACTTAATTGATGTAACTAGGATTTAACTCCTGTCTCCGAGTGCAAGAATTACGTGACAATTTTGTATCAAAATCTAAATTATCAATTGATTTAATTTGAGTTCCTGAATTTAGATGTGCAAAGTTAGACACGTTTCAAAAAAAAAAAAGTACAAAGTTGACGTAATAAGCTGTAGTCTTGTGATTGCTGAACACGTAAACAAGGCAAACTCCCCAGATCCGACCTCCCTAAAAGGTTCAATGACTTGTCTCTTTCATTTTTGCGAGAACCTGACTTGTCTGAATTTGATGAATACGATCAGCTTGTCCTTCGGTCCCGCAATAAATGTTTTGAGTCAGTCGTTGTAATCTGGGCCCTTTCTGTCCTGGAAGATTTTTTTTTTCAATTACCCGACTTTTCTGTAGCTTAAAAAAAAATCTAACAGAATATACACTAAAGTGTTAATATTTAGCGCTACTGCTAGACCAAGATCCAGTTATAACCTCCAAATAATAATACCATATAAAGATGAGACGAGCAGCACCCTTTACTACATGATCTCATGTGCTCCATACCCCATGGAATCTTTATTCTTAAAATTAACTCAGATAAAACGGAGATAGCAAGAAAAGCTGAGCATCTAGATAGAAGAAAACCTGGGAAGAATTGCTTGCCTTCCAGCCATGTATATATCTTTGGCTTTATGTTACTTACAGTCTTGATGCTCATCCTCATGGGATCAAACAAAGTTGAAGCACAAGTGGAGCCACCTCCCTTGTCCAGATAATGATAGAACGTACATATATATATACATGCATGGTTCATGAACTTAATTAAATGCAGTGTTTGGATATCATGGTACTCATTAACTGATGTTTCAAGTGTAATTAATTAACTTAGAATCTCTTGCGTTATGGGGCTACCAGACATAAAAACCATGACGTTTACAGCTTTGGAATTGTTGTGGACCGAGCTCAACAAGGAAGAGGCAATTAGAATGATAAAAGTAGCTTCATTGTGCACTAATCCTTCAGCAGCACCTCGACCTATCATATCTGAGGTGGTAAACATGCTTGAAGGTCGAACCCTTGTTCCTGAACTGAGTATGGGTTCGAGTATCTTTGTGATGAGTCGAGGGTTTGGAGCCCTAATTAAGAGACCTACTTAACCAAATGCCATCTCATAAAGGCACGTTTACTTAGTCATCCGATTCAACAGCATTGCTTGGGTAACTCTTCCTCAACGTTTGTTCAAGATTATTAAGCGGTTTCTCATAGTTGTTTAAATGAAGAAATATATGGCAGCCGGTATCAGAATTCAGAGCTAAGGGAGGAATTTTCGTGTAGGCAAGGAAACTTCCTGAGCTAACCAATAGAAAAGTCCAGTCAAGTTGGGAGCCTGCCCTGGCTGACTAAAATGAATTCCCCTGCCTGTCCAGGCTGTCATCCAGTGGAAGAATATATAGACCAGCACCCTATATCCATGGGAAAGTCACGTGCATGGGAGAATTTGGAAAATCTAAAACTATCTTTGACTAGTATTTGGTATCTTAAAAAGCAAGAGACCTTATCAGCACTTTATAAGCAATTGATATCGATATGTATTAAAGTATAAAGAAGTTAAAAAGTTAATATAAATAACACACAACAAAAAAAGAAAGGAACATGAACAAAAATAAATAATAATCGGAACAAAAAGCAAATAAAAAAAGACCCATTAATATTTCCATAATTAACACGGTCTCTAATAAGAAAAAATGCCACAACTAACTCAAGTTAGATTTGCGTTCCATCCAGTCGGTGTAAAGACTATAAACGAACTTGCATTAAAGGAAGAAACAATACTCTGTCTTGACAATTCTTGGTGTGAATGTGTGGACAATGGAGCCGACTACAGATACTGATTGACACCAGTAGGCAGTAGTGTTCCTTCTTCAAGCAAAAATCCAAAAAACCAATACTGCCTTTTTTTTTTTCTCACCACTATGATCTCGTTGAAACTGGAAAGCTGAGATGGTGACGTTGAAAATAGAGTCGATTGGGGCCTGCCCAGAATGTGTCTTTAAGTATATATCAACCGACAGGGGAAGTAGATATGAAAGCAGTTGAAGAAGACCACACGAATTGATTGGACTTTGTCGGCTAGTCATCGATGGCATCCCAAAATTTGGATAGGATCATGGGATCTTTTTCCAAATAAAAGGAAAAAAGAAGACAAAGACACATAATCCCCACACTTCCACCAAAGAGGTTAATAGTGATTGTTTACAACTGGTTTTGCCAGTAATTTTCTACCCTCTTGTCTCAGTGTCGTAAAATAAGCTTACTTTAGATGCAGACAGAGAGACGGAGAGAAACTGACAAAAGAGATAGCGAGAAAAGCTCAACGGTGCAATTGAGCATATAGGAGAAAAACAAAAATGGGAAGCTTTGGTGGTGTTTCAATGACTGTTTTCCACCTTATGATTCTTACATGGGTTCTCATGTGCTTCAGAACAAACAATGTTGAAGCTCAAGTAGAGCCGCCTCTTCCTCCAGATTCTGAAAGTAAGTACTAAGTACAGCTTGCAATTTGATTAACTGAAATTCAACCCTCAGGCTCTTGATATTGAAAGTTAACGACATAATATTAAAAGTTTCAACTTTAAATTTTGTGCATGTCCAATAAATTATCTTTAACAACTTGTCCTTCTCCGACAAGAAGGAAAAGGGGTACGAAAATGTTTGAAATGAAGGTTCTCGGTTTTTTTCCTGCACAATTAAGGCATATAATTGCAGTGTGGCCTGTTTGCAGCAATGGGTTTTTATTTTTATTACTTTGCAGTGGAAGCTCTTCATGAGATCGCGGCAGAACTTGGAAAGAAAGATTGGAATTTCACTGAGAACCCTTGCAACAATAGGTCAAGCTGGTTTACACCACCGCCGCCGCCGAATGTGCCAGGGGTAACAAATAACAGTACCGTTACTTGCAATTGTTCCTTCCCCAATGGTGAATGTCATATAGATGGCATGTGAGTTCTCCTCTTTCCTCCTCACTTGTTAGAAGAAAATTCTTATTCCAATTTCCTTAAAACACACCCTTAAAATGCTACTTTGGTTTATAGACCTATGATTTGGCTGCATTTCTCACCTTAATTTTAGCAATGAAAAATGCATAAGTTCTGTGATTTTGGCTTTGTATAAAGAATGATTATCAGAATCATTTTCGGTCATAAGGTACATATCCAGTACACAAATTTTGATTATATTTTTCTACATGGAAGGTCACTTTGTTGCTGTCATTTGACCAATAAGATGCGACTTAAGTCTCAAAATGTCCACAAGATTTTTCTTCTAATTGAATTCTGTGAAATCGAAACATTGTAATATTTGGAAATGATCAATTAAAATTGGACATGAATCTAAAATTCTTCATATCCTTTTGGAGCAGCTATCTTAGAGGGCAGGATCTTAATGGTGTTCTTCCACACTCATTGTCCAAGCTATCATACCTTAAAACAATGTAAGTAAAGGTTACAATGGTTTATTTACAATTAGAAAAGCAGAAACAGTATCATTACCTTTTATCCATGTTAACATCTTTTCTCTTGCTTCTAGTGATCTTAATCGGAACTATATTAATGGAACAATACCCCATGAATGGGCTACTATGGAGTTGGAACTTATGTAAGCTACTAGTGCAATTTATGTTTATCACGGTTACAAAGTGACTCTTACCTTCATATTAAACTGATAGGAATGAATCTGTTTCAGATCTATTTCTATGAACCGCTTATCAGGGCCAATTCCAACCTTTTTGGGAAACATTACCACCCTTGTATATCTGTATGCCTTTTCAATCAATCTCTCTTGCTTATCTTTTTTGTTTCTATTCTTCTTCTTTTTTTTTTTTTCCCTTTTCTGTATAACATTATAAGGTTTCTAATTAGTATTGTGTTTTCAGGAGCCTCGAGAACAACCGGTTTTCTGGAAGTATTCCTCATGAGCTGGGGAAATTGGTTAACCTGGAAAATCTGTTAGGCTTCCTTTTTCCCTATTATGTATTCATACATGATTATCGTCTCTTTCTAAACAAATAGAATAATCAAGCAACACTTGACTCACTTGAAGTTGACTTGATTTTCCTCTTTGGCGAATGCAGCATTCTTAGTGCTAACTTTCTCACTGGAGAGTTTCCCTTAGCACTTTCTAATCTGTCCAAACTAACAGAACTGTAAGTGTTTTAAGAGAATTATCTGTAATTATACCATTAAAAATATAATGCTTGCTTTGATAAGAAATCTTGCTTTTATGTGGGTTCATGCAGTAGGATTAGCAGTAACAACTTCACTGGAAAGATTCCTGACATTTTTCGAAGTTGGAAGCAACTTGAGAAATTGTAAGTGTCTTTCTTTGCCCATCACATCTCCGAAGTCTTTGTAATGCAGTTTTTGGGCGAAATCTTCATTACTTTGAACTTTTCTGCTGACAGAGAGATTCAAGCTGGTGGCTTTGAAGGGCCAATCCCTCCCAGCTTAGCTGTCTTGAATAATTTAAAGGAACTGTGAGTTTTGGCTTGTAATAATTTGTAAAGTAGTCTGTAGCCATTAATCTATACAACCTCATTCTGTCCTCTCCAAATTTAGACATTCAAATGACTTCACTGGGAGCCTTTTCTCTTTTAACAAATGTTTATGATGCAAATTTTATTCAGAAGGATCAGTGACTTACATGGAGAGGGTTCAAAGTTTCCAAACTTACAAAACATGACAAACATGAACAGATTGTAAGTCATTCCCAAGCTGGCAAAATTCTTCAAGGTCGTACTAGTCCCTACTTGCAATGATCATACTCACATGACTCTTATTGTAGGATGTTACGGAGCTGCAATATATCTGGATCGATCCCAAAATACATATGGGAATATTCACAACTGCAGATTTTGTAATTCTTCTCGTGTTTCATCTCAACTTTTAAGTGCTTGGAGGCTAGGTGTATTTTTTATTATATTGTTAAAAAATAATGGTTAGCTTTGCATGCCAACTATTGAGTGTTCCAGGGCTTGGCCTGATTTTGGATAAAAGGTTTTTGGAAATATTTAGCATAGTTTTTCTTCCTTTCTTTCCTTTTTTTTTTTTGTTATCAGTTATGCATCTTGATAATTTGTCATTGTCCTATTTCAAAGGAATTTTGCACTTTAAAATGATTCCCAGTTGGACTGCCCTGTAATATGTACAGAAACATTTAATTTGGGTTAATGGAATATTAGGATTATTCCTTAATCTACTATAATTATTAATTAGCAGCTTGAGAACTCTAACCTCTAATGTACTAATAATTTCCTGACAGCTCTCTTTCTTAATGCACTAATATATGTCTTAACGGATTTCACATTTCAATTAAACCATCAGTTGCAGATTGTTGTATTTTTCATTATAAAATGCCTGACTTTTCTATTTCTTGCAGAGATCTCAGCTTCAACAGATTGGAAGGGAAAGTTGCAGATTCTAACAGCCTTGTGTCTACACAATACATGTAAGCACGTTGAACTCTTGTGTATTTGTGTGCAATCTAGAATCCTCCATCTCTGAATCCATGAGAAGGACAATTTTGTATATATAATCTTGAAGTTGATAGTTGACACACAATCATATGACTATTTATGTGAAACAATTAGTTGTTAGTAAACAAGTGTTCATCTTAAAATTTAAACCTTTTGATTCTTATGATAACATAGAACATAATAATTTTTTATTTATTTATCTGAGTGGTGTACTTAATGGAAAAATATGATTGCCACAATAGAACCAGCCTGCTGATATTAGCACATCTGCAAGTCAAATTTTAGAAACAGAAAACAGGAAAGGAAAATTTCACATAAGCAGTGGCAAAATTTTAGCGCTTGATTAAATTAATTCACTTCTTCACTTTAAAACATAAACTTTCAAGATATTTCCAATAAAATTGCTTATTTGTGGTTTTATATGTTGCTTGCTGAATAGGTACCTGACAAGTAATTTGCTAACGGGGCCCATTCCAGAATGGGTGAACACAAGAGATGGCCGCTAGTATGTCTACCATCCCTTTTTCCATCTTTTGGCAATTTTTTGACATCAAATCATTATCAGTTCATTTTCTGTATTTCATTAAGTAATCTTGAAAGAAATTTCTTACTTATAACATGATTTTCACATGCTAACAAATATAGGATTGCAATATTTTCTCAAAATTACTTTATCTCTCCTGCAATGCTCAATTACATAGCATGAAGCCATCTGGTCAATTCATCCAATATCTTTGGTGAAATCTGGATTCATTTTCATGTTTCCAGAATTTTGCCAAACTAATTTTCATGTAATCTAGCTGGAATCATTTGCTCTCAATTTTGCTTTCTAAAGGTCCATTTATGTTGCATAACATCGGCAAAGTATGTGTGAGATATGACAAACTGATCGTTTGAAAAGCAGGCTCAACAGTAACTGAAATAGAGATGTTTGTTTAGTCATGGTATAACCACCATGTAGTTCTATAAGAAGGGTGACAAGAAAGATTTAATCTTGTAGATTTATGTTATGAGTTTATGTTGTTCTGATACAACTTATTATATCCCTTTCTGGTCCAATGGCTAGAGTTAATAACAATAGAATCCTTCCCTAGCCAAAAACCCTCCCACCCTTGGTAATAGTTGGATTTGGTCTTTGGTTGTTTACTAATCCACAAAACCATCTGAACCCTCTAGCCCTGGGTGAAGTCAGGGATTTGGTCTTAGGTGATTTTACTCGCTATACTCAGTATTTCTCTTCAAGGAGTGTGTACATGATCTAAACTGCCAAATTTGTAGCCATTCAAGGGTAAAAATCCAGGAAAAATGGCCTGATGCAGTTTGCACATTCACTAGAAGACGTCAAAAATACATTTGTGGCCATCTCCCTTAGACAAACAATTTTCCTGTGAAATCTTGTTTAAGTTATAGTGGTTATACTGTTATATTAATTAAAATGTCCCTAGATACGCCTTTAAAATTTCAAGTTCTAATTAGTCACAACTTATTATTCTTCTTTACAGTCAGATAGATCTATCTTACAATAATTTCTCCAAAAGCTCTGAGCAGGCTTCTTGTCGTGAAAATCTGTAAGAAAAACTCTCTCCAAATTTGGCTTTCTTGTGTTGTGTTTACTTTTCTACCATTGTAGATGTCTCAAGATATTAAAGTGATTGGTTTTCTGTTTATCAGAAACTTGTTCAAAAGCTCTTCGGAAGGGAAAAACTTGTGAGTTTGTAACTTACTGAATGTTCAAAAACCTTTTTATTGTTATTTTTATGCTTTCCCCTTTGGATCACTGTTAAAAAAGGCTGACGCTTCTTTGTCATGCTATTCTAATCCAGAGGACTTGAGAACTGCCTGAAGAACTTTCCTTGTTCAAAAGGTAATTCTTTCTTGAGTTAAAATACAAATATAGACTCTGAAAATTTTCTCTAGTTGAGGTGATACCATATTTGAGATCAATGTACAGATCAAATATGGCATTGATTTTCGTACATGTCTTTTTGCTTTATTCTCTTTCATGTTTTGTTTAATCAATATAATTACCATTACTGTTACCACTATTTCTAGATTGGTATTCAGTACATATAAATTGTGGTGGAGGAGCAACAACCATTGGAGACATCAATTATGAAGGGGATGAAGATGCAGGTGGTCCAGCAAAATATTTTCCAATCGAAGAGACTTGGGAAACTAGTAGCACTGGGCTTTTCTGGGATACCTCCGTATCGGCAAAGGACTATATAGCACAAAATGTTTCCATACTGAGAACAAACAACTCGAATTTATACACAACAGCACGCCTCTCTCCTCTTTCTCTCACTTATTATGTTCGTTGCTTAGCAAATGGAAATTATACAGTCACACTTCACTTTGCGGAGATAGTTATCAGACAAAATAGTTCGTTTCGGAGTCTTGGAAGACGGATATTTGATGTTTATGTTCAGGTAGCCAATCAGGCTATATGTGTAGTGTGCATTTTGCATGTTACCCAAAATGGTTTGATTAAATTGATTTGTTGCAGGAGAAACGTGAATTGTGGGATTTCAATATTGAAAATGAGGCCAAAGGTGTTGATAAGGAAGTTATAAGGAGAATTAAAACGGTTGTTAGGGACAAAACTTTGGCAATACGCTTTCACTGGGCTGGGAAGGGTACAACTGGTATTCCGAAAAGGGGAACATATGGCCCACTGATTTCAGCTATCTCAGTAGACTCTGGTAAGTTCTGTTTGTATGTACGGTCTCCTACTTCATGTGTTCCGAGTAATTAGTATCCTTGCTCCATCTCCTAGTTAAATTTGAATCTTAATTGTTGTCTAAGTTGTTTAGTGCATGAGGTGGATTGACTTGCAAAGGATGTAAAGCACATAGGATCATGGTTCTTGGAAATTAAGGTTAACAGAACGTTAAAATAGACTGTGCAAGCAACAAAAGATCCAATTTAGTTTTCTGCTTTAACCATTCTGTAATGTCCTAATTACTAAGTACCTCAAATATTGGATCAGTCTAGCATTATGTGTATGCATATGCAGTGTTACTTCAGGAGATGTAGTTTAAGAAAGACTTTTTTTACCAGTTTTATCCTCACTCTTGCTAGATTTTAAGCCGCCAGTTGCAAACGATTGGAAGAGGAAGATGAAGTTTGTGGTTGCAGCTGCAGTTTCTGTTCCATGCCTCCTTCTAGTAATACTAGGCATTCTGTGGTGGAAAGGCTGTTTTGATGACAAGGTCTCAAGGGAACAAGGTACTCTAAATAACTTGAAGATATAATTTTTTTCCTTCAATTAATTTGTCTTAGATGACCTATCCGCACAGTGGCGTGCTATGCATGCTTATTGACAATGTAATTTGACTTTTGGCCCCCTTCTTTTCCCAAGTCCTGAGGGGATTAGACCTGCAGACCGGCTTTTTTACCTTCAGACAAATGAAAGCTGCTACTAACAATTTTGACGCTGCAAATAAACTTGGAGAGGGTGGTTTTGGATCTGTCTATAAGGTACCTGCTCTGTAATTTCTCTTTGACCATCTTTGTTTTGTCCTTTCTGGTCGCAGATGCTTAGGAGTTGTTCTTACAATGTTGATATTAAATTTTATTATATACTATCACTGTAGGGGGTACTACTAGATGGAGCTATAATTGCAGTAAAACAGCTTTCTTCAAAATCAAGGCAAGGAGACCGTGAATTTCTGAATGAACTGTCCATGATTGCTGGATTACAACACCCAAATCTTGTCAAGTTGTATGGATGTTGCATTGAGGGAAATCAGTTATTGTTGGTGTATGAATACTTGGAAAATAATAGCCTTTCCCGTGCTTTATTTGGTAAGCTTCATATGCCCTTTAACTTATTTACTGCACAACGGAAGCAACCATCTCCCTGTAACAGCCTCCACTACCCCCTAGGTGGTGTTGATTTCATAACAACCATGGGAACCAAAAGTTCTAAACATTGTATGTTGACAACTATATGATGTGTTTCATTAAATGGGCCAATGTGTGTCAATACAGGTCCCAAGGAAAGCCGGTTGAAATTGGACTGGCCTACTAGGCAGAAAATTTGTCTTGGCATAGCAAAAGGTCTCGCTTTCCTGCATGAGGAATCAAATTTAAAAATTGTTCATAGAGACATCAAAACTACCAATGTGCTACTTGATAGGGATCTCAATGCTAAAATCTCTGACTTTGGTTTGGCAAAGTTTGATGAGGAGGAAAACACCCATATTAGCACTAGAGTCGCTGGAACCATGTGAGCTACCTTTTTCCCTGCTGTTTTTCACAGTTTCTCTCAAAGAATCTGCTAATCATCATTTCATTTCTTTCAGTCATGTATATTTCAGTTGAATCTGATAATCTCTACTTTCTTTTCTCTTTTCTTTTTTCTTTTTCCAATTCAATTACAAGTTTAAGAAATAGTTTGCTTAAGTGTCTGAAGGTTGTTTATGTAATTATAATAAAGGATAATAAATGAGCTTTAATCTTCTTGTCAAGAAATTGGCGAAATTGTTCTCTTGTTTTCCTAACTAATGCACACATCTTAAATATTCTGTAGAGCAGAGAATAAACCTATGATTTCTTTCTTGACAATCTACCTAATTAAAATTTGACAATTAATGGTATATACCAAAGCTAATTTTCTTTTCTTATTTTCCCCAAGAGCAAGTGAGTCCAGCATCATAGATATATTAATTACTTAACTGTATATGAAAAGGTGAGAAAAGTTGATATACCTGGAAGTGCCATGCATCTTATAGCTCCTGTCTTGCAGAGGATACATGGCACCAGAATATGCATTATGGGGCTACCTGACCTATAAAGCAGATGTTTATAGTTTCGGGATTGTTGCATTAGAAACTGTTGCTGGAAAGAAAAACACAAGATATGGAACGGAGGAAGATTTTGTATGCCTCCAAGATTGGGTAAGATAGAAGTTATGTTTTTAGTTCAAAATGGATTCTGTTCTTGAGTTGAGATAAACTCAACTGCTCCATGCATTTTGGTTATTTATTGTTTTCCCTTTTCATTGATAGTGCTCTCAGTGTTAAACTTCTAACTTCTTTTTTGTTTTAACTATTCTTTCACTTTACATTTATTACATTATTGCATCTTAGTTCTTATGTGCTTTTCTGTCTCTTTTTCCTCTTCTCCATCTATATTTAGGCACTTGTTTTACAACAAAAGGGAAATTTGATGGAGTTGGTAGATCCAACGTTGGGGAGCGAGTTCAACAAGGAAGAGGCAGTTAGAATGATAAAAGTAGCTCTATTGTGCACTAATTCGTCACCGGCACTTAGGCCTAACATGTCTGAGGTGGTAAAAATGCTTAAAGGTCGAACCCATGTTCCTGAATTAATCATGGATCCCAGTATCTTTGGTGATGAGTTGAGGCTGGGAGCTCTAAGAGACCAATTCAACCGGATGCAGCCTCGGAAGGGAGGCGAAAGTAGTACCTTCACTCACTCATCAGATTCCGGGGTATTGCCTGGCTCTTCCTCAATGTCGTTCTAGCTAGGATCTATCAAATCGATATCAATTCTCAGTAGTGTAACATAAAAGATAGTATTTGTAAATTATATTTGGCTTCAAAAATCAAAGAAATCTGAGGTTTGTGTTACATAAGGGTTGTAGATTGGGAGGAATGGTTAATGTTGAAAGTCATGAAGTTGCGTTTCTTATTTATTTGCATTCGAGATCAGTGCATCCATTCTCATGAAAACATTGAAAACAGTCATATTTACAGAACCTGAGCAATTTCTTGGGTTACACTTGATAAAATTCACGTTCATAAAACAAAAACAGTAAACAATAAATATGGATAAGGTAGGACCAACTCAATTATTCTAACAATGGCCTAATTTCCAAAGAGGATGGTACAATCTATAGCTTAAATATATAGAACCACACTGAACCAACCCTTTGTCTCTCGAGTTTCAGCAGTTTGATTTGTCTGGTTTCTCTTAAGCCAAGAAGCACGTACTGGCTGTATCCTTGCCATAAACACTCCATGTGAATGGGCCAACTTAAGGAAGTTGCCAAGATGATGCATATGCGTGTGGCAAAGTCAAAAACTTTTGATGGAACTAATATTTTTACTTTAAAAAGGACTTTGAAATGGAAAATCGAGATTCAAGATAATTAAACAAATCTATAAATTACTTCTTTATTGATTTGTTGACTTCTCATTCTACTTTTATTCTGTACAAACAATTGACTATGACTAGGATATTGTGATAGGATCACATTTGACAATATTATATGAGGTTACATGGACTTTGCATGGAAACTCAAGTCTTGAAGCTGAGATTATGTACCCTGTTGAAAAATAGAGGATGTAAGAGTGCAGAGTTAATCCTGTTGCTATGTATATACGTTGCAGAGCTGATCCTTGCAAGATCCTAAATCGAGAAGGAAGGTATCAGAAGCCATTAAACCAGGGAGTCCTGGTTATTTGATCCGGAGCGGCAAGGGACTGATGGAGTTCCCTTTGGAGAAACGTAAATGGAGTCCTAAAGTCAAGGTGAGGTTAGCTGGACTGCTGGACATTGGAGCTGGGAAATTAAGCGCAAGGTAAGATCAGAGAGGGAAATTAAAGAAAAAAAATTCTGTCATTTCTTTATGCATTCATAATGTTGAATTATATACGTATGATAAAAGAACTACTAACAATAAAACATATTTTTTCTATATCTTATTCAGTAATTAATTATGTAAGTGTGAAAATGACAAAACATATGCTTTTCATTTGTCTCCCAGAAAATTAGTAAAATGGATCCATTCACACATATCTTATCCTTTTTTTCCTTTGCTCCTAGGAAGGAATTGTAAAGTGTCAAAATCATGCATTAACTCAGGATGGATAGACGTATGCATGGAACCAATCTAAATTTCCACTAGTGCCAAGACAAGCCCCGGCAAGATCTGAAGTAATGCAAGGGAATCTAGCATCATGGGCTTTCATTGTACAACGACAATAATTAATATGTCTATCTACCTTCTTCTTGGTTTTCTATTTTGTGGACCATGAGTATTATTAGTTAGAAAGGTATACAGAAAAGGAAAGACTAAAAGAAATGGAGGACAAAGTCTTAATTTCATTAAAATCATAATCTAAATCTAATATTGACATAAATAACACACTCTTTTATAACTAAATCCTAAAGTTAAACTATCCTAATACATGCAAAATATCAAATACAACACCTTTATTAAAAATAAACCTTAAGATATCTTAAAAAACATATTTTCCGCCAGTTGGGCAATAGTCTATTCTAAATTGCTGATGATTGTGGGGTATAAATAAATACCTGAAGTATTCAACTTGATCTCAATCATTCACCGTACATTGATATCTCTGCAAACAGGCTCAAGGAAGTGTGAAGCGGGTGGTGACGATGAAAAGAGTCCATGATATGTTAGGGGCCATGTTTAGATCAGGTATGCTTGTATTGATAATTATATTAATGGCGATGGAAGCACAAGCAGGAAAGCTTCCCAAGGATGAAGGCGAGTTGGCTTTTCTAACTAGTCTTTGTATAATTTTCCTTCACTTTCAAGTTCATTAATTTCTTCCCCTATTTTTTAACGATCTCCTGTCATCTGAATGCCACTGTTTTCCATTTTTTCTCCTCTACAAATACCTACTGCACCAAAGGAAAAAAAAAAAAAGTTTTCAAGCTATGTCTCTGGTATTGTTTTGATGATTGGTTTTTGATATCTGCAGTGGATGCTCTTCATGAAATTGCCAAAGAATTAGGGAAAAAAGACTGGGTTTTCTCGGTCGACCCTTGCAGTAATCAGTCAAGCTGGGAAACGCCAAAACTTCCGGACAGGCCATTGTACAATAATACAGTCATCTGTAATTGCTCCTTCCCTGGTGATGTCTGCCACGTCGTTATCTTGTATGTTCCATATACGCTAATATCATTACTACTCAGTGACATGTTACCATGGCATGCGTGCGTAGCTTTTTTACCTGTATTGAGTCTTGTTTTTCTTCTTCAATTCTTTTAATTGGGCTTTGATGAAAAACTTGACAAGTGACAAACCAACCTGTCCAAGACTTCTGCTGGCTACTGTGGGTTTGACTGGGACCATGGTTCATGGGGTCATGCCCCTGGTCCTGGTAAAGGCTAAAGGCTTCAAAGCCCTAAGCCCACGAGATCTATCAGTTTTAGTCTGTTTCGTTTGTGAGTTCTGGGCTCGTTCAATCGTCTTAGTGCCTTAAGTGGTAGCAATTCACATTAAGATATCTATAAGTTTCGGTTTCCGTTCGGCCTACTTACGTTTGCTCATTTAAATTCGCGATGCAATATTATTATTTAGATAATTCAAAATTGAAATTAAACAAAAAAGCTTTTTCATAATATATAATAATATCTCTATTTATGTTGGAATCTAAAATGTTTTAGGTTTGAGTCAAATCAAGCCTACATTTTTGGTAAATTGTTCTACTCATAAATTAAGAATGATCAGAAATGTACTCGTGGCTTGTACATATATATAATATTACATGTTATATTTAGTTGATTTTATTAAATATTTATAATAATTAAAAAATAGATTTATGAGACAAACAAAGCACTTTTTGTTTCATTTTTCTATTTTAACTTGCTTCTTTTCTATTTGCATCTAAGTGACATTTTAAATCTTTTTACATTCAAGTATCCTTTCAAACCTCTACGATTAGCAAATCTTTTATCTTATTTATATAAGTGTCCTCACTCGCTAAATTTCTAATTACTCTTGCTAGGTTAATACCATATATATATAATGAGTACTACTAAAATATGCTTTAATTTTAAGATATCCAAATTCATATATTATTTGAATTCAAATATTAATACTTGTAAGAAAACCAGAACTGGAAATGCAAAATAAATTTCAAATAAACTTACATATATATTATTAAAGATAATGAAAATTAATTCATAAAAATAAAATAAAATTAAAATTTTATTTAAAATAATAAATAAATTTTAATAAATATTTTATTAATTAAAAGTACTATATGAATAAAAAATCATATATAAAATTAATAATTATAATTAAATTCATGTAGTGAATATCCTATTATTATTATCTGAACTCGTGACAAATAGTAATTTTACTACTCAAATACCTGATTATAAAATATTTATTACTTCCATGAGAAGATTTAGATGTAACGTGGAGGATCAATTTAATCATTGCTATATTATTCTACCACCGAAGTTGAAGGGGCAAATTTCGAGAAGTTCACTAACACTAGGACGTAATGAAAGGCTGAGCATGAAATAATGGAGACTGCCATTCGAAGACGCTCTCAGCATGGACCTCCTTGAGTTAAATAACAATGGGACAGACAATGACTATAACTTTGATATGTAATTGCACTTATATCCATGTTTGGTAGGTTTATACTTACAGTAGTTGCTCAAACAACTTGTTTATTATGCTCTTGTGTTGCAGATTTCTTAAAGGACAGGATCTGCCTGGTGTACTTCCACCATCGTTAGCGAAGCTACCTTACCTTAGGTTCATGTAAGAAGGGCTCTCAACTATGGTGTTTTGATATTGGATATCAGAAAATTATATGATGCCCTTTATAATTTTCGTTTAATAGATAAATTTTTTTCTTTCCTTTGCAGTGATCTTACGCGGAACTACCTTAATGGTACAATACCACGCGAATGGGCTTCTCTAAAGTTAGAAAGCTTGTAAGCCACTTCTGCATTTCATGTTTAAGTTTCTCTAGTAATCGCGTAACACATTTATTGAGGTTTTGCTGTATACTCATCTTCTTGATCAGGTGTCTTAATGCCAACCGCTTATCGGGACGTATTCCAGACTACTTAGGGAACATTACCACACTCACATATTTGTATGTTCTAACTCTTTTATCTCTTTTTGTGTTCTCACTCCATTTTAATGCAATCAAGCTTTCATTTTGTTAACCTGCTCTAATAAACTGCTCTGCATGTTCAGGAACCTTGAAACCAACCTGTTTTCTGGACCTGTTCCTCCTGAACTTGGGAAATTATTTAACTTGGAGAGACTGTTGGTTTCTTTTTCTCTTTCTGCTAAGATATACCTGCATGTTTTATTATTATCTTGTAGATGTTATATAACACATTGAATAATCTAAGGCTATGTATAAACTGATTTGATCTTCTTTATTGGTGACTGCAGCATTCTTAGTGCTAACAATCTCACAGGACCGTTACCCAGGGCTCTCACCAGCTTGACCAAGTTAGCAGAACTGTAAGTTCTCGTAACCTTAGTCCTTATACATTGTTGTGGCAACAAAATTTTAGGTCTGATATCACTCAAACTCGTTTTCATGTTTGCTAACACCTAACATGCAGTAGGATTAGCAGCAACAACTTCACTGGAAGGATACCTGATATTTTTCAAAGTTGGAAACAACTCCAAAAGTTGTAAGTAGCTTGTTCCTCCTACCTCTTTCGGGAGGCTTCCATGCAAATTTTGGTAGTTAATTTGTTCTGTTTAACAGAGAGATCCAAGCCAGTGGTTTTCAGGGCCCCATTCCTCCTAGCATCTCTTCCTTAAATAACTTAATTGAACTGTAAGTCTGCCTTCGGAGGTCAGAATTCTTTGCTCCATGAATTCCATAAGTTCTTTTCGAAGATAAGAAACTCACTTACTGAGTTATGAACAAGCTTTT